GTTGAAGAAAAGCATGTCCTCTAAACACCACGAGCCCAAACCAACCCAACTCAGTCTATAACTTATATCAACACGCAGCACGTACAGAAAGCGAGAAAAAACAACCAAAGATCAAGTCGTCTGCATAGGGATCGATTGCAAAGGCAACGGCGTCTTCTCGTCCTCAACAAAAACAGCCTTTTCCAGCTTTTGAGTCATAGAAGCACAGAAGGGATCCACATACGCCGTCCACAGCGCAGCAAGGAGGTATACAAGCCCAATCCAGACCGGAATACTAATACCAACGACCCACGGCGGCCGGATACGCAACCAGTCGTCACGCTTATCGTCAGTCAATGGCTCAGGGCCCTTCCAAGGCTGACCACTGATACCATAGAGCATCCAGCAGAGCACCACACGCAGCATGGTGCCGTGGATGAGATAGACAGCGAAACTCTGCTTGCCAAGCCAGAGGAGGAGTCTGCTGGAGAGGAAGTCTTTCGTCGTAGGGGAGAAAAAGATCGCAAGGATGATCATGTCAATTGCGAGTGCGGTGTATCGTTTCCCGACGTTGACGCCTGGCGGGAATATGTAGTGGCTTACTTTGAGCATCACGTTAGACCAACCGGCCCATTCGGGATGTTCACCGGGGTATGAAGCGAGGAGCAATGCGAAAATAGTAAGCGGGATAGTGAGCATCTTCCTGCCTCGCGGGTGTTTTGCTATCCAGTCTTTGAGGGCTGTGTGATATGAGAAGTCACTGAGGAGGATTCCGTAGATGGCTTGCATTTGGAAGGTTTCTATAGAATCGACATTAGCAACTAATGTACCCCCATTTTGTCCGTAACCAACTAGAGCCCTAGATTGAAGCTCATATGTTTGTTTCATCCACAAGCAAGACTCACCTATATCCTTGCCCGCATTCTGATGGAAATACAACAGCATTCCAATATAGATCACAACCCTATACCGAAACTTGACGAACATGGTCGCCGAAAGCACCAAAAAAACCAACATAGACGACAAAAGCAGCGGTAGAAGCGCCCACTGGTGATCATCATACGCCATATACCCCGTCGTCCAAGTCGACAAGAAATTCATCGGCAGGCGAATAAGTTCTTTCCAAAAGGAGTCTGCCAGATCGGGCGCCGCATATCGACACCACCAGCAATCCGACCTATTTGCAACAATAAACCCACCGAATTGCGCAACAGTCCACGAAATGAACAGTGCAATCGTCGCGGGGAAGATCAGCCGTGGCGGGCGACGAAATGCGCCCTTTGCTATTGTTTCAAATGCTCCTGTTGTATCACCTGCTCGTGATAACTTGAGTGGTTTGAGCGCGCAGACGTAGCCGGTTAGGAAGGCGAAGATTGTCACGCCCAGACGGCCTTGCCAGGGGATACGGAGGACGGGCCATTGGAGGACTCGTGGGCTGGCGTTTTCTTTGTCGCGTGGTGAGAATAGATCATAGTCCCAGGCTCGGGCGAGATGGGTTAGGACTACTAGGATTGAGGCGATTCCTCGGAGGCCCTAGAAGTTCAATCATGTTAGTATATGATGCACTATCTTGGTTTCGAAACATACATCAATCCATTTAACACTCTTTTTAGGATCTCCTTTCACTGATGGATCCCCAGATGACCAAGGGAAGGTTGTGGGTAATGTGTCTATTAATCGGGTGTATAAATGAGAGGGCTGGGGGTATTGCATTATAAAGAAAAGTCCAAGATGCAAATATTCGAATGAGAACCAGGCTATGAAATATAAAGGGAAACTGAGCGTCGACTAGCCCACTCCAACCGAAAATGAAGGTATAAAAAAGAAGAACTATGAACAAAAGAAAGACAAAGAAAACAGAGCCATCCAAGACAGTAGGACACTAGGACACTAGGACAATAAACCCCCTCGGCGATCACATCAAGAAAGAGGCTGCCAAGAAAGAAGGGAGTTGGAAGTCGACGCGGCCCTGCAAGCGGCAGCCCTTATATTGTCCAGACCCAATGGCATATTCCCTGAGAAGCAGGTGGGCGACTACTTCGTATGCCAGTCCCACATTACAGAGTTGGATGAAAATAGCCAAATAAATTGGAAAACGCCACTCGGATAACCCTTGCTGGGCGATGACTTTCTGCAGGGTCGAATGATCTACCTCATACCTGTATTTGGACAGTTCCACTTCGATGGAATACTATTTTATTATTGCCACCCAGTCCATTTCTTCTTGGCATTCGGTATATTGTATGACAAAAGAATGGCCCTAATGCCAATGTGCCAATGCACCCAATCGATCACCAAGCTATATAGGCAACAATATGCAAGTTGCGAAAAACACCAACCTCCTACAAATACCGTCATCCAGGAGGACATGGCATTGCTTGGCATGTAGGCTACACGGAACGGAGTACACGAAGTGCACGGAGTGGACTTGGCTGGTTTGAAAACAGTATTCGATAGGAGATCGCAAGAGAGATCATGGGAAGAGGATGGAGCATTTGACTACGTTGTCATGATCCCTACATGTAGATACAGCCTTATGATTTTAGTACTAGCCAATGGGAATCAAGTTTGCTGGCACGGAGTACTTATGTTGTAGATGCGTTGGCATTCCTCATCTCTGCCAAGACCGAGGGCTTCCAGGTAATATCATACCCAGTGGAATGTGTGCTCCGCATACGGATACGAGTATATTCTAACTTAAGACGGGGGTTTCATTAACAACGATAATAGTGAATGGAAGGCCTAATGAGGGCATCTCAAATCCGTTGATATTACATAGTATGTTGCGGAGAATAATCATGATATCAAAGTCAAAACAGACCCAGTCTGCTAACAGTTTCCCCGCAAAAGCCCAGATCGCCAATCATAGTGTATTAGACATGAAAAGAAAGTAAAACAAAGTCCGCCCATAGGTAATGTAAGACCGTTGGGGTTATCATCGGAAAAGCCGTCTTCCACCTGCACTTCCCGAGTTCCATGTGAATGAGCCACGAACTCCCAGGTTCTCCAGACTCAATCCCGAGTAACCAACTCCACCACCTTCACCATCACGCTTTGTCCGCCGTACCGCCTCACGCAGATGTGATGGTAGAAGCTGGCCACGGTGTGGGTTTGGTGGAAGACGGAACTCGCGTTTGGGACGGAGAGGAGTGGGAGTTGGGTGTGGAGAGGATGTTGTCGAGTTCTGATGAGTAGGAAGAGAGGGTGTAGGCGTACGGGTAGAGTCAAGTGGTTCTTTCTTAACTCCGCTACTGAAAGAGGCTGACGTCGAACCGGGGACTGGTGTGCCTGCCGGGGTTGGCGTAGAGGTTTTTGAGTTTGCGGTCACACCTGCGGCTTTCGCCTGGGCGGCAGCTTCCGCAGCGGCCTCTTCGGCCTCGAACGCATCGCGCGCAGCGAGATCGTGTGCTTCGGCCCATTGAGCCTGAACTGTTCGCGCCATTTCAATCATCTCACCGGCGAAGACCTTGGTAAAACCGTTTACGGTCGTCACCACGCTGGCCGGGACAGATTGCGAGAGCGCATGGTTCACGATACGGCGGAGTGTTTCTTTGCGTAGCTTTGCTCGCTTGAAAAGATCGTATCGCTCTGATTGCATAGGGTTGAATGCATCAACCAGAATCCTGTCCAAAACTAATGTTAGCTTCATCCAATATGATCGGAATGACAGGGGAAAACGTACGCTAGGTTCTTCTTCTCAGCCTCTGTATCCGTAGCTCCTTCTTGTTGCCCAAACAGCTCTGCCTCATCCTCCTCGTCATAATCATCCGCATCGTCACCTCCTCCACCACCTCCACCGCCAGAAGGACCACCCCTGACCGAACCCTCGTTATCGACTGATCCGAACCGTGTAGAATCACCCGCCCTAGCGCTCAGAGCATCATCCCGCTCCCGTTCCCGCTCTTTCTCGGCTTTACTCTTACGTCCTCGTTTCTTTCCTCGTGCGGCACCAGAGAAGATTCCGTCTGCGCTTGCTCCGCCCAGACTCCCTGTGAAGCTGCCTGTCACGCTCCCAGCTTCACTGGTACCACCGAAACTGCGATCTCCGATATCGATGCCGGTCGGGAATGAAGTCTGGCGGAGTGGGTGCATGCGCTGTTTCTTGCCAAGCGGTTGTGATGTGGAGGAGGAGATGGAGGGTCGTTTGAGGGGGTTGGATGTTGGTTGGTATGGTGGTGGTGACGACATTTTGAGAGGTTCTAGTGGATAGATGGGGGCGGGTGTATTGCGTGGGTGTGAATGTTCAATCAACTCGTATTCAAAACAGCCAGCTGTAAGGATGCTCAGTCTATTCGATAGAGTATGAGCACAAGTTGAAGCTCTTTCAAGGCCGAGGATTTGGCACCGCGCCGTTGCGCCAAGCGAGAAAGGTAGAGATCAACCTCGGATTTGAATGAGGAATGAATGTTAGTATGGAGGTTTCGACTGATAGCAAGATATCTCTCAAAGAACCATAGGTAATGATGTGATTTTGCGGCGGACTTTTAGTGAAAGTAGCTGGTTGCAATCGATTGGAAGCAATTTGGAGACACGAGATAAGGACGCATCTCACCGCCTTCCATCTTAGGTGAACTATAGCCCTATGTATATTGGACACTGTACGCGGTTGGGAATCCTAGAATTTACACTCTACACTGAAGGCTATATGATGCAGAAAATGATAATTGTGGTTCAATATGCTTAAAACAACCCCGCAGATGAGTGCCCGAAACTAGGTATGATGTATGATCAAAGGAGTGACAGAACGACGAAATTCCGAGAAGAATCGAAGCTCGATGTACCTATGATTCGAACCTTCTCGACTGAACCACTGTAACAAATGAGAAAAGAAGGAGGCGCTCAGCTTAATCATGCGATGCTGTGCACTATTTAAAGAAACAAGATAGACAAGAAAAATAAACAAAACAGACAAAACTGTGCAAAGATTGACTGTCAAATTGACAGAAACCCAAACGGATAGAAAGGTCGCAACCGCGAGGAGAGAACACTCCAATGGCGGATGGTTGAAGAACCAAGTCACCTCAGAATCCTTTCTCTCCAATTCGCGGTGCCCCCCCTTTCCAGTCATTGCGTTCGTAGTAACGGAACACAAGATCATAACCGTTCAGGTCATGGACGATGCGATCGACACGGCGGTAGCCTTCCACGTGCTCCATCTTGTTGCTGCGGCGGAGAGCTTGGCGCTGGGCGTGCGCCACATCATGCTGCCCATTCGCCTCTTCGAGCTCATCCAGGGCGGGTTTAGTCTCAAACAAGGTAATGCTGAAACGGCCAGGCTTGAAAATCGCAACAACCTGCTCGATGATGTCGGCGGTAGCCTTACCGTTCTGAGAGTGCGGGACGTTGGTCTCAAAAGATGCGTACGAACACTGAGGCTCCGGTGTGACATGCACGGTGAAGTAGTGGGTCGGAGCGTTGCCATCAGGAGCGGGCACAACGCCATTGGCAGAGAAGCCACATGGAGTGAAGAGGTACGCATCGATGCGAGCATCTGGGAACTTGCTCTTGGCGTACACATCGGACAGGCCGCATGACTCAGAGACGACAGTGCCCAGAGCGTGGCCCTCAGTGGTCAGCTCCGGCGGCAGGATGCCACCAGTCTCCTCATCCATGTCGGAGGTGTTGCTGAAGACGTCGAGGTGATCAGTACCATCGTCTTTCTCAGAGTTGCGGTGACGCTTCTCGGCCACAGCAGTGGCGTTTTCGAGGTAGAACTGCTTCGCATTTTCCTCATCAAGGTCGGTCATCAGAACTTCGAGGGTCTCATCGTGCTCATCACAGTCAGTGCGCAGATTGGCATCAGGGAAGTTGAGGACCTTTGTTTCGGTCTCGTGGAAGTCAACCTCCTCCTTGGGACTCGCCGGTGGGGTGAGCACGGTGCCAGGCTCGGTCAGGTAGAGATACCAATGTTCTCCATTCATCTTCCCGATCATGTAGGCGCTGCCGTTGACGAACAACCTGTCCATCGATCGCACTTCATCGCGCCAGCTGCGGTGAGGGCCACGCTGACGGTCAGGGAACAGGAAGTTCTTCCGGCTGTAGAAGACTCGGTAGGGAGCCGCAGCCACCGTGATACCCCGAGATGAAGGGGCCGTGGCGCGTGGGAACCCTGCGAACAAAGCAGCGATTTCCAAGATGCGCGGGAGTCCCGAAAGCAGGGTGGTAGTTCCGCACGTCTTGAGAATCAACTTGTGCGGCCAGACAAACATGCTGGACTCCGACAGAAGGTAGGCATCCATCTCATCGGAGGAGATAACGGAAAGCACCTGGCAGTTGACCAAGTCCAACATATCCTTCCAGATTTCCCCGGGCACTTTCTTAAGGCCTTCGGGGCCGGCGGCGCCTAGTTCGGCGGCAGATGGCGCAAACCATACCTCGAGAAGCTTCTCAGGACCTTCGAAAGCATTGGTCGAGTCGAGATCCTGAGTGGCCTCATAATTGATTGTCAGAGACGGCGTCGCCGCGAACGAGGACGGCGAGGTGGTGTAGTTCGTTGGAATACCGACGTAAACCATGATGACTGATGTAGCTTGAGCTGTTGTACTTGTGTGTGTTAAACGAAGCAGAAACAGTGACGTCGGACCGCCCTATGTACTTCGATAGAGATAGGCTGTAGTAGCACTGTCTACTTGCCCAGACGAACAAGGGGGCGATGCCCGTCTGAGAAGAGAAGGCCCTGAAACAAAAACTTAACTGGTCAGACCAGGCGGATATAATCTCCAAACAGACCGAAGGGCTGCTAAGGAGGTCGGAAGGCGAAGGACAAAAAGAGGATGCTAAGAGAAATTGTGACTAGCAGTCGGTACCCTCGTCCTGGAAGATGCCGATACCGGTCAAAGTATCGGGTCTAGCAGACGAGAATGCTGCTTTGAGGGAAAAGGTATTGAAAAACGGGAGAGCTGGTGACGACGGGAGTCGCGTTATCGAGGCCTAGAGCAGTATAGCGGTTAGAAACAGTGTTATAAGAGAAGATCGACACATGGGAATTCATTTTTTGTATTCAAGATCATGGCATTGACCATGATTTCCCGATCCAATAGTTTTAATTGCTTTTGGCAATCGGCACATTTCCCAAGACAGAGTGGGAATCACACTTACTTCGCGGGCTTGGACAAGAATCGCAGAAGGTCAGTTGGGCTCATGGAAGGCGAAGACAAGTTCGGCTTAGATCAACACGAGGTAGCGGAAGGCCACAGTCGTGAACATCGGCGGGGTTTGTCTGTAGGACAGTCTCACCCAGAAGCCCAATGGGTGCCCGAGATCAGAGATTGATTACTCGAGGGCTGGAGAGCACAAGGGATCTCTCGCTAAAAGATATTGGCGAAACAGTTTTTGTTCTGGCCTTGGTGACCTCGTGTGGGAGGGGAAGTGCAAAATGTTTGCGCAAAGCCAGTTCGGTTGGTAATGAGTGATTTTATCTGTGGGCCCGCGATAGGGTGGGGCAAAACGGATCAAAATCTGTCTGACATCAGGGAACAATATAGTGTTAGTTGGTGTCTCAATCGCAAGGAATATCTTAGAGCATGTGATATGTTACACACAAATTGGGCAATTTGAAAGCTGCAGTAAGATGCAGACCGTCACGGATGATTTCGGCCTGTTAGAGGGGAAATTGGGAGGGCAAAAAAAGCAAAAGCGGGCGAGGCCCCGGTTCTCAGACGGGCGGTGGTTCCAGGCAGAATTAAACTTTGTTCCTGGAGCTATTATGTAAGGCCGCTATGACTCAGCATATAGCGGGGAGAGCCCTGAAGATCCAAGCGGGGAGATTTGAGGTTGCACTCTGTACGTCTCTATATCTATCTAGGGTTGCAAGTATGAAAATACCAACCAAGTACACAATTGGAATGTCAAGATCACACCGCTGCCGGCTGATAAATGCGAGCAATCACCTGCACAGATGAGCGCCACAAAATGATGAGTCAACTAGGCCATCCAAGGACCCAGGATTAGCTCAGGTCTACTCAGTAAGCAAAAAGTGAAGCCCTTCATTTCCCGAGAACTAAGACGGAAAAGAAAAGCCAAGGTAGGTATCACAGGGAATCCACTACACACGTAGGACATCAATGGGTAGAGTTATCATGTGAAACACACTGATCAATGGCTGTGTCATGTAATTAAAAAAAAAAACATATCCAGAGCCTGAATATGTCTACCTATGTATCCATAATCCCCGAACCAACGCCCGAGATAACGCCATATCGCAGGAACAAATCATCGCAACCTCATTTGCAAAAGCACTTGAGAGATATCATGAAGAAAACCGAGAAAGCCATTCATGCCTCCAAAATGATATGTGCTAACTGCACCTCACCAGCCTCCACGATCCTCGTCGCAATGATATCACCGACCTTGTCAACTAATTTGGAGCGGAGATCGTCTGTGACAGTGTGACCATTGGTCAAAAATGGTTGGCTACCACGCAACGAGGCCAGCACAGCGACAAGGGCATTTAGAACTCGCTCCGCAGCTGGCCGGCGGGCAGCATCATCCAAGCCATCACTGAGAAGTTTGGTGTATTCGTGCAAGTTGGGAATGACGAGAACTCTGATTACTTCAGAGCCGCCGACAGATTGCAGTCCAATGATGGCACCATAGTGGGCACCGAATGGCTTTGAAGGGTCGAGGAAGGTCTTGAGACAGGAGCGCACGAGTCGGGGCTTGAGCATGTGAGATGAATGGGAGTACTTTTTGGCGATGAGACTGAGGAGAGAGGCAGCCATATCGCGCAGAGCGAATGACTCCACGAGATCCGCAGTTCCACCAAGCTGTCGGCCGATGAGGCAGGTAAGAATGGATGGTACGAGGGATGCGATCTTATGGGGGGTTAGTGATTAGCGTCTGAACAAGTTCTTCCAAGATGGCAGGGTTTACTCACGTAAGGGTCCACGTAAAGTGACTGGTTCTGGACCAGCGCCTCGGCCATGTGCATCACCTGAGTTAGAACGAAAACATTCTTAAGACTGTGCGTGACCTTCTCGGCAATGAATTGGACAAAGTATGGCACCAGCTGGTGCAGACCTGGGTCCTCGCGAAGACTGGAATACCCGGAGGTGCGGTAATCCTCGCTTGTTTCATGCAAAAAGGCACTGCAGACCTTTTCAAAGTAGAGCTGGAGTTCCCTTGAAAGCACATGCTTGACTAATGGCTTAACAGCCACATCGCCTGTGCCACTAATTGCCGCCAATGTGGAATTGGCGTTCGGACCCTTTGAGACCAGTTCGAGGTTGCGAGAATCGGCAGCGGTTGGGTTCTGAGGGATTGACGGCTGCACACCCTCGACAGCCAACCAGTGGGCTAGAGTAGGCGTTAGTGGTCAGACAGCACATGAAAGTATGGAAGGGTATCCACTCACCAGTGAAGGAGACTTCGCGGGGAACCTTTGGCAGAGGCGCATTAATCAACTTCTCAAAGTCAACCTCCTCGTCTTCGACGTAGAAGAGCGGTTGGCCAGGTCCTAGAGAGGCTTCGCCGAACTTCAACGGACGGGTGGAGTCGTAGCCATACAATGGCTCCACGTCCAGGTTGCGTAAGGCCAGCGCAATGTCTTGAGTGGTAAGAACCGTGCGCTTGCAGTGGCGCATACACTTCAGTGCTTCCTCAAGCACCTGCGCAACTCGATATTCGACGTCCCGGGCGAGATTCTCGGTCACGTCGTTATTAAGGTTGAGGATACCGACGGATTCGGCGACATCGCGGATGTTATCGGGGTTCCAGACAGACATGGTGGAAGGTCGTGGTCTGGAGTAAAGGTGTGTGAGGGAAAGATCAAGATAAATTTGGGTTTGGATAACAATGGCGCTATCGCGAAAAGTGAGGTGAAGGGCGAGGGACGAGGGGGCAGATGAGGTTTAGAAGGCTAGTCGCATTCTGAGGCCACCGCCAGCGGATCCACAGATTAGACAATAACAGCCCTTTTTATCGAGTCAGTACTGTGTTTGAACGATGGATGAAACGCGTCAAGTTTCAATGGATAGCAGGAATAAAGTGAACAAGCACCGCCTAGAATATGAAAGCTTGTCGATAAGAGTTGCGCGAGCGGTTCTGCAGTCACCCGTATAAGCTGCCTGCCCTACAAGAGTGAGTCTACATTGAGATGCTTTTGCCTCAGCCATCAATCTTCACTATGGCCACAAACAGATAAAGATAAAATTAATTACGGCTAACAATTAGGTACTAATAATACAGTGCATCTTGAGAGAGCACATCAATCACCTGAAACCAGGTACACAAGAGCGGGGAGTGCTATTCACTGCTCCTCCGGGTATCATAACAGACAGCACCAGCCAAATATTAATCTACTGGGCTCCATCCTTCGCAGGCTCTTCCTTCAGAGACTCAACCTTAGTAGCATCTGCTTTGGCAGACTCCTTAGCAGTCTCCTCCTGGGGTGCCTCCACCTTGGGGGATTCTTCCTTCGATGGCGCCTCCTCCTTGATGGGCTCAGCAACAGTAGGCTCCTCGGGAGACTTGCCCTTGTCCTCGGTTTCCTGTTCCGAGTCCTCCACCAATGGGATGAACCTAGCATTCTCCTTCAGCTCCGGACCATTTCCACCATAAGCCTTGGGGATTTGTGCAGCAATCGAAGGAGAGAACTCCCGGGCGAGGTTGGCACCGTTCGTGATCGGGTGGAACTTGCGCGTGGTGTTTCGGCTCAGGATAAACTTCATAGCAGTGAACATCCAGCCCATGATGGCAGGAACGTTGACGAAGAACTTCTCACTCAGAAGCTCTGGGTATGCCGTAGCGAACACTTCGATGACCTTCTTTGTTGCGGTACGGACAGATGGATCCATACGGAAGAACTTGACATTCATGTAATCGTGCACTTGGATCATCTGGTAAGGATCCTCGCCGTCGTACTCAATGACCTCAGTGGCATCCTTCATCTTCAGGTCCTGCACAGCGAGTTCCATGAGAGCGGCGCGCCATTTGACAAATCTTTATGCAGTTAGCATTTATTGCGATTGTAAATAACTTTTCATGATGGGTTCTTACTCATCGGCATCTGCGAATGTCACACTGATATCCTTCACGGCTCCGTAGGTGTTCCAAGTGAACACCAAGGGCCGACCGTTCTCCTCGTAGGTGGTCAGGTATCCCAAACCCCCAAATTTGGCTGCGCTGTATTTCGCGGACTCAGCCAATGCCAGCGGGTTCACTTCCTTGCGCCACTGGAGTGCCTTGCTGAGCTGGGTCTCGGCGGCTTTGGCATTGCCTTCATTTGCGCGTAGGAACTTGATCAACACGTTGACGGTAGGAATATCATCGCTATCTTTGAGAGGCACTCCCCACATCTCAGTGTGACCAATGCTCCCGAGGATGGTTGGCAGGCGGTTGAACAACTCGTCCAACGCCGGGTTCTTGCTCAGGTAGGCTGGCTTCTCATCCTTGGGCTCTTCGGGCTTTGTCGCTTCAGACTCTGCAGTGGCAGTGGTGGCGGCAGTAGTATCATTTTTTGCTATTTCCTCCTTGACTGGGGCACTGGCAGGTTCATCTTTGTCTGCAGTCTGTTCGGTGTTTTCAGCAACAGGCGCAGGAGTTTCCACGGCCTTGTCGACTGCTTCCACGGTTTGCTCAGGCTTCTCAGGCGCAACGGGCGCAACGGGCGCAACAGGCGCAAGAGGTGTATTCTGATCAGCTGTGTCCGCCATGATTGATAGGGTTAAAATTGAGGATGTGTTGAGGTTAAAGGAAATAGGGGGGTTTTGAATTCACAGGGGTCGCAGTTGCCTTGTCAATAATCGGACCACTTATCGATCCCCCCACCTCTCAGCCCTGCTATATTTCGTTGTTTCATGATATATCATATCCACCTTGAATCTATTTTTGTTGTATTCTCAGGGGCTTCTAATGATCTTGTTCTATGCCATTTTCAAGCTACCAACGGGTGAGTATTAATATTGTACTTGGTTTGGGATGAAAGAAAGCAAGTACTTCGGACTTGCTATTGGATCAGCCCATCACCATGCACAGCTCACAGAGCTTTCAATAGTTTCACTAATAAACACAATTATTTATATGTTTTAAACTAGCTACTCCCTAGAGGTATCACATACAACATATGTGGAGCATCCTTAGTATCCTTACTCCGTACTTACCCCTACTATTTTAGACTTACAATTAAGTTGGATATACTCCGTATGCATACCTCTTCACTTCTTGTCCGGAAGAAGTCCGGTATTTTCACTTCTGTGCTATTTTCCCCCCAAAGGTCAACCGTCTGCATGGGGAGCATAAGGATGGCCTTGGTCTGACTTCTGACAGAACAGGACTACCATTGCTTTGGTCGGTATTTGTTGAATTTGCGACAATTCAATCGCACTGTGTTTCTGAACGTTAATTTCGATACTTCAATCTCCACAGAGTTATTTGTAGGCTATTAGAAATATTTAAACTGAATTGATTGTCAAGATACGTATCATAGATCACTTTCTTTCGGAGACTTTCCGGGTTTTAGATACTTAGCTTACTCTTCAATGAAACAATCTCACATTGCACCATGCATCTCGACGTCTCCGTAAACCCCTCCTAACAAGATGAATCATGATACAGGTAAACCTACGGAGTACTCCGTACAAAACGGAGCAATACTCAATGCAGTCAGCTTTGGCCAAGCCACCTGGTCGGAAACGGACACAGGCAGATGTGACCGAAACCTTCAAGCTGCATATGCGCAAGCACATTGGCTAAGCAGGTAAAGAGTTTGAGGAGGTGCGGATGCCAACAATGTATGGAGTACCCCGTATTATCCAATTATTGCTAGTTGCGTCTGTTGGCATGTTTCTGGCAGCTGTCTGGTCCTGTAAGTAGGTTCTTATACACATTGACCGCGTTCCCTAAACAGGCCGAATCAATATTATTACCCTATATTTTGTATTCTTTTAGACAATGCAGCAGTTAGAGTTCCTCATTCCCACTGTCGCTGTCACACTCTTTCTTTTGAGGACTGGCTGAGCTGAGGTTACAGACAGCGTTGACACTAGCCAGCAATGAAATGACCACTATACATCATTAGAGTGGGAAGCCAGCCGCAGATATACATAACTTACCGAGTACACATTGCAGCTCAAAATACCCGAATCTTTCGACCATAAATCCAGCCAAGATGGGTCCAACCAGTAGACCAGACATCCAACTCATATTTGTGACTGCAACAGCCCGAGAATACCCTCCATAGGGACCGAATATGCCGGGATGCAGGTCCTCCAACTCATCAACGGTTTCTGCAAAGAATATACATGTTAGTATTCCAGCTCCCAGCAATAACATCCCAAACTTACCAGTTGCTTCCATCGTCCCAACTCCCATGAGCAAGCACATAAAGCACCCAATCATAGTCGTACAGACGCTATAAATGACCTTCCCTCTAGTTCCCGAAGTAGCCCACGGGAAGCGCCCATCGCCAGCGACACCAAGAAACCATAGGAAAGGCGCAACAGAGATAAACCCAATGGTAGTAGGAACTCTCGATCCTACACGGTCTTTCAACACCCCAACAAGAGGAGCCAGGACCATCCCGGGTCCCTGTATAGACGCGAACAGAATCCCGACCGGGAAAACGCCCCAACCAAAAGCGGACCGGACATGCATCGCGATCGTGGACTCGAAGCTGGCAATATAAAGCGCAAAGACAAAATAACAGACTATCCCCGCTGTAAAGCGAGGCTGGCGAAAAAGGCAGAAGTAGAAGCGCCAACCGCCAATTTCCTCGGTAGTCGATGGCTGATCTCCATTGTGATCTCCATTGAGAAGTGGCTCTGTTTCAGACGAGGGTATATATTCGTCAGCACCTATAGAGCCATTGCTGTTGCGAGCGGTATCGCGGCGTTTCTGTGGTTTTTCGATCATGAGTAGACGCATGATGATATCCACGACGAGAAATAAAGCCGCGCCAGCCCATGCTATCCAATATCCTCCGATTCCGAAGAGAAAGCCAGCAATGACAGGACCGGAGCATGTTCCAGCTGCTGTGAGTGTTGAGCTTAAACCTGCTATCTTGCCCATGTGTTCTGACCCGATGTTCTCGGCCATTGTGGCCATACCGACGATGTATAATGCGTTACTGACGATGCATTGGAAGAAGCGACCGATGAAGAGCCAGGTCACTGGGAATGAGTTAGTAGAAAAGGCAACAGTGCGATTCGCAGTATACAAGACTAAGGCTTACAGGATGTTGTGATTGATAGACATAACACGCTGATCAGCGTCAGTACTAGTAACGCCAGTAGTAGAACCTTCTTAGAGCTGGCTCGGTCGGCTATATTCCCGATAAACGGACTCGAGATGATAGATATAAATGCCCCTTCAACTAGAAATATAGATGTCAATCGCTGGGTAAGGGATGTGTCTAGCCCTAGGCGGTTCTCGAAGATGTGAGGGAGCAGTGGGACCATGAAGGCGAAGAGCATCTCATCTAAAGAATGCGATTTCAGTCATTAGATACGATCTAGTCTCTTCAATGTAGTAAGTAGTCCAATTAACGAACCTGTGAACAATGCCATGGACATGCTGCTGAGAATAAAGGTATCTGATGAGCGCCAGCGATATCCCCATGTTCGCCCTGGACCCTGTTTCTTAGTACAGGTTAAAGGATACATTTCGAAGGCCTGGATTATCAATTAAGAAGCTTTTCTGTATCAATAATTCTAATAAAACAGAGCAAAAGAGAAAAAGCCTGGATTGAGGGGGGGATTGCAGATGAAATATGTGTACCAAAAGTAGATGGCTTGGGAGGGAGATCGCCTATATTTGCCCGTATTCAAGCAAATAATGAGACACCGGTACTCTGTACTCCATACCACAGCTGCAGATCGAATGTTATGATTGCTTTTCCCTCTTCCGACCAATGTGAACCCCATCTTCGACGCACATTAATGCCCAGTGACTCTAGCGAATACCAGCTGAATCCCAATTATGATCTGGGCCATTCTTAAATTACAAATGTTGGTTGGTACATATAGTATTAGAAAGACCATAGAATTTGTCTAGTAACACGAGGAAACATACTTATTTTTGCCTTTACATCCATGTGGGACAAGCCCCGGGATAATCTTTAGATCTCCAGAGCTTATTTAAACAAGAAAAAACGATGTTGCGAAGATAAGACGCTAAATAAGAGGTCCGGTAACGTAAATCGTGTATTCGTTTCCCGTGGATCGAAGGGCCACAAGGGATGGACCTTAGTCTAGAACAAAAGATCATTTGCCAAGTGAAAACCAAAACTAGGAAACGAGCAAGAATAAAAATCCCAGTAAAGGGAGACGACACTGGGGGAATATACACAGAAGAAGAGAACACAGAATACAAAACTGGAGAGACTGGTGCGACGGTAATCTGAAATCAACTAGGACCGCCGTAGGGGGAAAGGACTAAACCCAAAGATACGAAAGCACAGGAAAAGACCAGAAAAAGACCAGAAAGCCAGCCTATCTCTATTGTCCGTTGTTGCGGAACCGCTCAGGCATTTGAGGCATTTGAGACATAGACGGCGGGGGAGCAGGCTCCGATTCGTCGGTGTCTTCCATTTCCTCATCTAAATCCTCGGGATGGCTAGATTTATAAAGTTAGCCCACAAAATCACAAAGTATCGGTGCCAAACTAGGATCCACATACGCAAGTAGCTCCTTGATATTCCTCATCTCATAGTGCCTCCTACGCTGCTGCTCAAAATGAGCGTGCTTCGCGCGAGCCTCTTCAGTCGTCAAGAGCGGATCATGCTCAGGTGCCTCGGCACCATTCACAGCCTCCACACCGACATGAACATGCTTCTCGCTCTTGTGCGAGTCCATGCTCATGCTACGGTCACGGAAGACACGAGGGTCGTCCATAGCAATGTCCTGGAAGTTTTCCTCCGGTTCACCGAGCTCCAGGTCAGGGATTTCATCCTCAGACACACCCTTCCGGTGTTGGGTGGGTTTGGTGGACTTATCCAGCTCATCGACGACAATACCTTGCGCATCGATTAAGGTTTCCTGTGCCTCGTCAAGCCGCATCTGCTCATCATCTTCGCTGGGGTCGTAGTGGGGGGCGTAAGGAGTCTTGGGTTCGTCAATCTTCATCTTCGCTGTCTTCTCCTGCTCGGTCAGGTACAGATTTGCTTCGTCCCACTTTAGCCGGGGCTCGTTTTCGTCGTGGACGCTAGCTGACGACCGTCGGCGCGAGTTAGAGCCTGGGTGGGTGGAGGATGAGGATCGCCGACGGCCTGCATTCTGCAGGGTGTTCTGGAGGGTGAGTTCCTTCGTCTCCTCGGGCTCAGAGACAGTTGGAACGGAGGGCGGGGAGATGGGTGCCATCGGAGCGGAGGCGCCTTGGAAGGAGTTGGAGTTCTTGAGGATTCCTGTTTAGTTGTAGCAAGAATACACTTGGTCAGATCCCATAGTTACTTTTGGTCACCGTTTGGCGCTGACGTAGTTTGGACTAACCTCTTGGTCGATGGTGCACATCATCGGAGCTGTGCGCCTTGGCCGGCATGTGTGGTGCGGTAGTCATGGTGGGATGGTAGTTAGGAAAGACCGGGTGTCGCCCGATTTGCAAGTGGACGATGTAATAAGAAGACTGATTTCCAAGGGTGGGGGATCAGGAAAATCAAAAGGATGTGGCCTGTTCTATTTTGATTATATCACAAGCCTCAAAGTTCTCAGCTGCAATCCGTGCGAGAAAAAAAAAGAGGCTGAGCACCGCCTGATGTGGTTGGTACGGGGGAAAACGGATAAATCCAACCTTGGAAATGAACAGGCTGACTTAGATAAGAGTCAGCTCACAGTCACGAGTTGAAGCAAAGAAAAGAAGAATATGTATAAGGTCAAGTGGTGGGGTGCAAATCCACTCGATGACGTCGGCCCGATCATCTACCCGACGTAGAATTCAGCTTAGCTAACGTTTATCAGATTGACAGGTGAGGAGATATGGGAGGTTGGACGTCATATTATTACAAGGTTGTCTAGGTATAACTTTCTACTTGGCGCTATATGATAGCCTTGAAACCCGAGGAACTGGTAGTGCATGGCACTTTTGACCTAATCTTAAAAAGCGACAATATATATTTATATATAACTCTAGCATAGAAGGACACGAACATTACTTATAAATATATAGGCAAGGAAATATAACATTAGACTAAGATCAACACGACAAACCGCCGAGTCTTTCAATGTATTCAAGAACGCCAGTCATGTTCCAGAGTCAAGCCCAGACAGAAACCCGAGGCAAGAGTCCCAAGTCCACGAATGCCTTAAATCACCCAACTAGATCGCCCGAACGGGGGTATATGGATATATATGCAAGGACGTAATAATCACGATGTAGAAGATAGGAAAACAAAGAGAAAGTGAAAGTGAGAGAAAAAAAAAAAAAGATCGAACCAGCGAGCAAAAGAATGATAAAAAAGACAAAAGAATGATAAAAAATAAAAAACAACACAATACCAGAAAAGGAGAAAGACCAGGAGGTCTCAGAAACCACTCATGCAATGGAGTCAAACTCCTCACGCTCACGAAGTCTGTTCCGAGCAAGAGTATCACCACCACTGGCCGACAACTGCATCCAGTGCAGCGCCAGACACATACTCTGCGGGTCCGATTTAGAGTCCTTGTCTCGTCGATACATCATCTCCGCCTTGAAGGTATCCCGTGGGAGGGTCAGAGGGAGTGTCACGCGGGGGAGAAGCTCCGGGTGAGTGAGATAAAGGATTGCAAGTTCGCGCTGTGCGACTGGGTTGCCCTCTTTAGCAGTGATGATCCACATTCCCGCTGCATCTTGAATAGCATGGCCGGGACGGGATTGGAAATCCGAGGCGAAGGGGGAATGACGACGGGAGAGCTCTTGGAAGACGATTCGGTCGGCGATCTCGACCATGCTGTGGCAGATCTCTTCTTTGAGGCTTAATGCAGCAAGACCGAATTGGAGGAATGCTGTCCCGCGGTCCGTCTTGTTTAGCTGGTCTCCTGGGACGAACGCTGAGATAAACTGCAAGTCCCTGAAAAGGGTCTTCGGCTTCACTTCTAGAATCAGATCGCGCAACGTTGCTACAATTTGTGCTTCCGAGGGGGTGGAGTAGTCAGATCGGCGGGAGCCATATGTGACAGACTCCGGAGGAGAAGAAGAAGGCAGGATCGGGTCCATCTGTGGTAGGTTGTTGGGCCGCACCTCTGAGAAACTGTGGCGAATGTTCCGATAGAGTTGAGGACTGTTCCGCATCCTGTCACCTTCTCCCGGGGAAGAGCTGAGAGTAGTTGGGGAATTGGCATCTTGGGGCGAAATGAGCGATGCAACCACCAACGAACGCAAGTCCCGCAACGCGTTGAGCTTTACAAAGGGATTTCCATGACGCGAGAACACTTCGATCAGCCGGTGGAAAACTGCCTTGTATGAAAAGGCGGACTGCCCATCCGATTCGAAAGATGCTTGTGGTAGCTGCGACGAGGCCTCCACATGAGGAGCTTTGTGCTGGGATACACGCAGGTTGTCCAGAGACCTGCTCCGGCGACCTTTCAATGAACCACGTTGCTGACCAAGATGCTTGGAGCGCTCTTCATAATCGACGTAGAATTTCTGGACAGCAGCTCGGCGGCGCATTTCCACCTGAATGCGTTTCTGGTCTAGCGCATTGGTGAACCAGGCGTCGGTTTCACTACCACAACTCCATACCGGAGAGCCCAAATCGCTCAAAAGCAGACTAGTCAGTGTCTGTCTCAAGTTATCCATGAACACCGTCTTCCCGTGTGTTTTGCGTTCAACGCGACGGGGCTGGCGGGTTGCCGTCTCACTGAACATAGATGGTGGTCGCGAGTACACGCTCGACGCGCTTGCGGCATACATAGGGTGCCTCTGGGGTGCAGACCAGAATGTACTGTAGGTGTCGCCAGTAGATGTCGAACCAGCACGACCATGTGAACCCCCGAGAGAAGACATGTCAATCGAAGGCAAGTCACGCTGAGGCCTCCATTTATCAGAGATTATGCTTTGGATAGAGGGCTTGCGACCCAATGACGGGGTATCTTGAGAAAGACGAGAAGACATAGGATCGGGGACAGGTATATTGGCACCATAGAAGTGAGACGCATAATTTGTTTCCTCGCTTGTTGTCGTCGACGGCCGAGGAGTGCTAGGCATGGACATTCCTGGGAATGTGCGAGAGCCGTAGCCCTCGAATTTTGAGCGTTCCCTTTGGAAAAGCTCACTTGCCCATAACACCGGCGTCTCGGTCATCGTTTCACCAACTAGTTTATTGATGCTCATTCGGACCTCGTAACAGAATCGATGAATTCTTTCTTCTCCCTTGCAGAAATTGTCGATTCCGTTGTGCGACAACCATTTCTGAGTCAGCTCAACTTGCTCGTCAGACAGCTTATTCGGTCCACCCTGGCTACTGGGTGCCTTCATCATGTTCATGACCTGCACTTCGGGTTTCTGGAACAACGAGCCACCCAAAGACCTTGCTCCGTAACGAGAACGTTGTTCTTCGGGGAACTGGTTGAAGAGACGGGCAGAGTAGATCATCGTTTTCAAAGCCATAGCCACATGTTTAGCCTCCTCATATCTGATAGAGTTTTTGACATCGTTCATGTACCACATCTTGTCTCGGATCTTGCAGAAGGTGGCCGCCAGGTCTTTGACTTGAGTTTGGAGTCGGCGGAGATCATGATCGAGAGACACAAAGTCACTCTCGCAACGCTCAATCACAGCTCGTGATTGGATCAGTGAACGACTGTAATTCTCATGCATCGGGCCCAAGATCCATGAGTCGCCTGTGGTCCTCGACGAGCCAGGCGTTCCTCGTTGCCCGAGCTGCTGTGAAGCATTCCACCAGTAGTGCGCACCAACAAAATCGGAGTCATGGTGGCAGCAGAACATCGCTTCGTTGAACCGCTGCTTCAAGGACATGGAAGCTGACTGTTCAGCATTCTGTGAAAGGAACCCGTAGTCGTCTGCGTCTTGAATACGATTCTCCTTGACAAGTCGAATGATCGCTGTCTGTAATGCTTCATGGTTTTCCTCCAATCCTAGCGTCGTGGAGTGCGCGTCATCATCACTTTCAATTATCGGGCCCTTGGACGTTTCATATCTGTTATCAGGAAGCAGACTCCAAGTTAAGCCATGTCCATCTGCTGCAACTGAAAAAATGGTCCAATGCTCGTCGGAGGGATGCTCCAAGCTCAACCGCTCGTTAGGATGATCTAAATCAGTTAACTCAAATCGAATGCGAGCGGCCTTTTCAGACAGGCTATTTTCCGGTGCTAAGATAGAATGAGTTTCCACCGAAAATATGGAACCGTTATGTGACGTAGGTTTTGAACTTGTGTCATGCTTGAAACGAGCGAATCCGGAATCCGTAAGTGAGTCAGGCCGAAAGTTGACAGATGGTGGTGGACTGGATGGCCAAGAATGAACTCCTGCAGAAGCTGGTGAGGAATGTAAAGACGAAGGGGTCTGCTGGAAAAGAGTGTCTAGGAGTGTGAGAACATCCAAAGCAGACATCATCAGGAAAGTTGAAGGAGACTTTCGTCGATGAGGAAGTGGTGCCTGTAAAGAGGGAATAGAAGGGTCAATTGATGCCTCCGACGGCATCGTGTCATTGAACCGAGAGAGCATGTTTTCGACACGGCCCTTAATTATTGGACGAGGGATTGAAAAATGATGCCTTGAAGAGATCAGCAATAATTTTGAAATCTGCAGAGTTCAAACTGGGATGACGTACATTGAGCGCAAAACAGCAAAGACTTGAGCGTAGGCACGGTGCCCAACCTGGTTCAACAATTTCTCGCGGGCATCTTTTCTGATATGGAAGTCTAAGAGAAGACCGTGTGTCTATCATAGCAATAGCAGATTGAAGTCAGCTTCGCAGGTTCACTAAGGGCTAGAGGCTCATATACCTCAGGATATGTTAATGCGCGATAGAGGAACTTCGAAAAGAACCACTGGAGGAATAAAAACTCCAAAAAGCGACTGCGAGTCTCGGGATTATCCAATTTCCGTAAAACGGCCTTTGCAAACTGTAGCACGGCATGAGGAAAGCCGCCATCGGGGTCATCAAGTACACGGAACAAGTTATCCACGGCAGAAGCAAAGAATTCCTCTGCAACATCCGTTCGCATGGGGTCCAGGGAATCCATGGAAAAGTCCAGCCCAGGTGGTGTGGCTATAGGCTCTAGGAGAAAAGCACCGGTTTGTAAAATGTCCATTAGGTAGAGTTCAAATTTGGGGCGGGCTTTCCAAGTGCTGCCGGTGGTCCAAGAAGAAAGGATCTGGCCGATAAGAGGATAGTATCTACTACTTCCGTTGGAGATTAGTTGAGCGCAGACGGACGACCACACCTCCATACGCAAGCTGGATTCAGACGTCCCTGGGTCCAATGGAGCGGCAAAAACGTTAAAAATAAGTATAGATAGTGGGTCAGTCCTCTCAAAAGCATATGCGTGGTCCTTGAAAGCAGCGGACTGCGTCTGGCTCCTGTTTATGAAAGTCTGGGCCCGAGCCCGGGATGTAGAAGGGAACGCGGGATCATTGGTATCCAAAGCAGTGGCAGGAGAAGTAAAAGCAGCCAATTGGGATGAAGACAGGCTTTTCAACCGGTCAACCAAAAACTGGGGATCAGAGCGGACCAGCCGCAAAATCTCCAAAAAGTCCGTCCGGGACTGAGGGCTCAGCTGATGAAGGAAATCCGGGAAACGGCCAATGTCAGTTCCCAAAGATGGCTCTCCGTCCACGGAGTCTGTCTGGCCATCGTTGGAAGCAGGTGAAGAGCATGATTCCTCAAGGTCTTGTAGTGTATGGTAGAGAGCGACAAAACTGGCCTTGTCATCATGGCGGAGAGCTTCAACAAGACCTCGCTGTGCAGTCAGCCCGACACGAACCATGCGCGCAGAGACGCCAATGGACACCTTGGTGGCGCGCAGGCGCTTCTCCAATCGCTTCCTTTGGGCCTGCTTGCGCTGGTTCTGGTGGTAGCGAGTGGCAAAATCCTCGAAGGAAATTTGGGGGACATCTTCTACCGGTGCGGGTATGATAGAAGCCGTCGTAGGCTCGGGATTGTGTCCATTGGCAGGAGCGGTCTCTACCTTGGGACTGGCACGGGCCGAGCCATCGAACTCACCTGGCCCCACGTTTAACGGAGATTCGAGTGCGACTACGGGCGACATGGCTGGCGATCCCGGAGGTGAAGGAGGTAAAGGCACAGATGCAGGATCTTGCGCCCGATGCGACAAGTCACATGGTGCATTAACCTTGGGGAAATCAGGTATTTGCTCGGCTGGAGCTGGTCAGATTGGGCTGCAATCATAACAAGGGGGGTATAACGATTGGAGCACCCCTCTTTCAACGTCCCAACCCCCATATAAGGGAGAAAAGCGCAAAGAATAAATATCATGACGTACTGGTTGTAGAATGCAAAGAGGACGAATGATCCTCTTGGTGTTCTACCATCTTGCCATTAGCGACAGATAGTCGCAAACCCCCCCTAGCCGACGAATCACTATCGCATTCTGAAACGAAAACCAGTTTCTCAGAGTGACGATACACTCGATCGGATGAACTGTTGGCTTCCAGGATGAATGCGTGGGAAGAAAAGGCGGGGGAAAAGAGAGGAAAGGGTAAAAAAAAATAAGGAGGGGAGATGGGGGTTTAAAATCAAAGTAAAAATAACTAATGAAACCCGGAGTATAAAACAAAAGAAGGGATTATAAGTAGGATAGCAAAAGGAATCCTCGAAACGGACAGTTGCAGACTACAAAAGTGCTAAAAGCCAAGTAGAAGAGACTTGTAACTGGTTTGTTTTTAAAGGGCGATGGACAGGTACCGAGTACAACGAGACGATGCGTTGGCAGTGCAGGAATGAGGTGTCCATGCGCCCCTCATGCGCCCCTCAGATTTTATAGACGTGTACTTTCTCTACGTGTTCTAGCTATTTTACACATATGTACAACATACTATGGATCTGAGGGCCTATTAAATCGCCCGGGGTCTAAGATCTGAGAAATACATGTCATGGAGAGTGGCAATATCCTCACATGCAAGGATATTATGGCTTATATACATCGTACTACGACACGCGCAACTGGCATTTATTTCATGCAGCTAACCCGGGATACCCCGACTCTTAAAACCCCCCCAAAAAAGCAAATATGTTGGATCATGATTAGGTGAATCGTTCATGATGGCATTACAGATGCTTAGGCCCAAACTCTGTTCATAGGTACTTATGTAGGAAATCCAAATCCATCTTAGTATCACCGACAGACCCATTTCTTGTCAACTTCTTTTTGCCCCACACGAGCGGCAACCTGATCAAGGGTGGCCTTGAGTGTATCCTTGGACACCTTGGGGAATCTAGATCCATCCGGATTAGCATATGCTCCAATAGAAGCGGACATTATAACCAACCGTTTCTTCAAGATCTCAACCAACCCAATCTTACTGAGATCACTACCTTCAACTGCTTCCTTGAATTCAGCGAGTTGGTCTGGCGGGAATGGCCGTTTCGCTTTCGATGTGGCAGGTAAAGCACTGCCCGCCGCCACTGTTTTAGGGACTGCAGGAATAAGGAAGCCGTCTATGGCTGTCGCGGGTCGCGCTTTCGCAGGTACTGGATCCACGGGCTTGGGTTTATCCCAGTATGCAGTGGAGAATGGGTCGATAGGGAATTTAACCGCATCGGTTATAGACTGCATCCGATAGACCTCCATTTCCGGCTCGACTCCATTGGCAGTCCACTTGATTCCAGTAGAGACAGGCTCTAAATCGCCAACAATGAGACGACGTTTACCCTCGGCAAGCGCATCATCCTCGTCATCTAGGAAACCCTCGAGATCATCTTCGCCCTCATCACTGCCTTCATCTTCTTCTTCAGAGTCCAGCTCTTCACCCTCTTCGGGTTCCTCCCACTCCGCCTCAGAATCATAATCATAATCGGTATCCGGCAGCCCTCGGTGATAGGGATTTCGCGCAAGTCTTCTCGTTGATAGCTCGGACACGCGACGGGTGTAAGTTCCTTGATAGGGAGGGCGGATGTCCTCGCCAAATTTGAGGGACTTCATCGTGACCTCGCGTAGAAGTTCTTGTGGCCTCCGAGATGGCATTGTGGTCTGGTTGTGAGTAGGCTGAGTTGGGTCTTCAGATATTTGTAGTTGCAATAGTATGTCCCTGACAGAGCTTGTTGGCTGACGCCCACGACGGAACGGGAATATCTGGAAGACTTCTGACGGGCGAAAAGGATGTGTTTGGATTGAGGTTTCGTTGCGTAGACTTCTATCGATAGATTCGCGTACGTGCTTGAGCGCATCGGAATCACGCTCAAACCGATGAGGAGGTGCCACAACGGTATGGGATTGTAGGAAGAAGGCAGGAAACTCTCGCTCATAATCCGACTGCACGACACGAGTTTCGCGAGCGGGATCGACCGTGGTGGATGCCTTCTTAGGAGAAGGAGCGATGATCACCTGCCCCGATGAAGCGGAAGGTGCCGGTGGTTTAGTAAAGAAGGAATTCAATTTCATTTGTGACTGAATTGGTTAGTATATGGACATCTTCCTGTTAGGACGATTGTGGATGACACTTACTCGAGTCTTCTTCTCCTTCTCCTCATCCTTTTTGCGCTTCTCTTCTTCTCTGGCAGCTTTTTCGTCCTCCTTTGCCTTTTTCTTTTCATCTCGCTGCTTGCGCTCTTCTTCACGTTGAGCGTCCTTTTTGCGCTTTTCTTCCTCTCTGTGACGTTTCTCTTCATCGCGCTCAGCATCGCGCTTCTTCTTTTCCTCCGCCTTGAGACGCTTCTCTTCTTCCTTCTTCGCTTTTTCTTCTTCTTTCTTCAGCCTCTCCTCCTCCTTCTTCGCCTTCTCCTCCGCCTTCTGGCGCTCCTTGGCTTCCTTTTCTTGTTGCTTGGAATCTGTGCCAGCAGAGACTACCTTGCGTTTCTTAGAGGCCGGGGCATCAGGCTCGGGATTAGAAGCAGTGTTGGTACCTGGGGAAGTCAATCCCCCGGCACCAGCTTCATTTTGTTTTCGTGATGTCCGTCTCATCACGATTTCGACCGAGGGGGGAGGTGGAAGATTACGCTTGATTTCAACTGGCGGGGGAGTAGTGTCGTCAGGTTGGGAGGGGATGGATGGATCGCGATTTTCTTGGTTTTCGCCGGCGAACTCAGTCAATGGTCGCTTCGCATTTGGTGAGGGCAGGTTGGTATCATCAACCTCGTGAATTGAGCGTTTTCGGGGACCGGATGAAGGTGGTGCAGGAAAGGATGGGGTCGACTGCATTGGTGATAGAGATGTACTGGGTACCATTGACACCAGAGTTTTTGGAAAGAGCTAGTTAAGAACTTGAGATCTCGGGAGTGCAGGTGAGAGTGTAGGGAAGGGGGAAGGGGGAATGGGGACAGGCTGTCGTGTGATAGATCGCGACTTCAGTTCATAGGTAGTTTAGGTCGTGTCAACCAAGGGAAAGCGTAAATAGGAGAGACAGATAACAGACGTCACTCGAATTAGACGACTGGTCTTTAATCACAGAGTATCAACTTCGTTGTTTAATGAACGTACAGAGTAGAGCAGTGACAGTTGGGCCAAGACCGGGACGCGTTAATCGTTTCGCGCTCGCGACCGATAAGCACGTGTGTGTGATTATGTAACTGCTATACGTCCACGGGTGCTCAGGCCCGCGGACTGATCGAGTGCCCCAGGGACATCCCGGGCCATTTTCTGTGGGGTCTGCAGTGTGCTGTACAATTTACGGCATCACTTTTGGACTTCCAAGGTTAATATGAAATGAGCATGATGTTTTGTACTTTCTTTGGTTACTGTGGTTCAATTGCCTTGCACTACGCTATGCAATGGCAACGAAGCTACAACAATAACCATATACCAATCCAAGTTATCCTAAATGCAAGACAGAAATTGAGATGATCTTTGGGTTGAGATTACTATCCCTAGATTAAGAGAAGCGAAGCCAGATAACCAACGCCAGGATGGTCCCGTATGCAGCCGCAGAAGGACGAAGACAACCCAGAGAGCACACCAGAGAGCCAATCTATGGAGACCAGTAGTGCCATCGAGGATATACAATAAGAAACAAGGAGGCCTGGAGAAAAACAGAGATGCGGCGCTTTGAGGAAAAAAGAGTAAATCAGACAGTAAACGTGCGAAGATATAGACAAAGCAGGAGGACGCATTGGTCTAAACCATCAAGATTTGCCGAATGGCGCCAGGTGTGGAGTTGCAACGAGATAAGTATTATGTGCAATTGACGAGGTGTTAAAAGAGATCATGTAGAAATCATAAAAGATAGAAGGAAGCGGGATATAAAGAAGAAGAAGAATAAAAAAAGTGGCAGACGCTGTATGAGACCAAGGGCCTCAGTCGCTGTCTGAATCGGGATTTGCGACGAAAAGTCGCACATTGGTCATGGTAGTGGTTCGCTCGTCTACACTGCCTCGTCGTCGCAACTCGGCTGCCTTCTGTGCTTTCTCGGCTGCTGCAGAAGCGGCGCTCGGAGCCTTCATGTCACCAACAAAGTCTTCTTGCTCTTGCTCGCTGCTGTGTGTTGTCGCGGCATCATCTTTGTGGAGAGATGACAATCGGCTCTTTTCTTCTTCGTGAATCTCCGCGGGTGTATTTTCAGACACTTCTGGAAGGTCGGTCTTCTCATTCGGGGGCGTGCTGTTGCTGCCCATCGTTCCCTGTGGCCGCGAGTATCCACTTGGGTAGCGGTGGGCACTTCCTAGAGAGCTACGGCCGCTGCCGGTTCGTCTGTGAATTGCGCCACCATCACTGCTGAGAGTGTCATCATCCCCATCACCAACCTCGTTCGCACTCAGTCGCACGGGGACCTTGGCGCCCACTAGGTTTGAGGGGGAGAACTCAGAAGCTCCTTTAGGACCATGTCGGATCTTGCCACTAGCCAAAGTTCCTGCCCGGCCAGCGCCTGCGCCATGGACTTCAAGGTACGCTCTCTTCTTGTCACGCAGGGCTTGTTCGCGCGATCTGGCGTCTTCAGGTTGTGCCCGGTCACACCACACGGTAGCTTTCTGCCGCCGCATAAGGGCCACATATCCAAGCTGAGAGTTGGCAGAGCGAGACGAGGCGGTTCGCCGGATGTCAGAAACGCCATGCCCCGCATGTACCGTCGGGTGGTTGCCAGTAGACGAGGTTGAGGTAGTAGTGCTAGACATGCGTCGAGAAGGTGGGTGAGGAGGAAGAGTCATTTGGGGAATAGGAGGTGGCGGAGGAGCGCCGTGGTAGTGCGGAGATCCGCCTGAGTAGGGCAACACGTTGGAGGATGTGGTTCGAGTCCGACTGTGCGTGGTTTGGGGGCTCGCTAGATGGGGCGCAAGTTGGGGTCGTGGAGAATCGTAGGACTGATATCCACCATATCCGTGCTGGGCACCAGAGAGGGGCTTCCGAGCAGGAGGCCCTTGGTGGAGGGGCATTCGAAAGTCAGTCATGTTGGGCGGAACAGTACACCAGCCTTAAAATCCCAACGTGTAGGGTCCCGGTTGTGGGAGTTGGGTTTGCTCGCGAATGCACGGAGGTTTATTTCAGGATGTGGGACCTTGATTGGTGATGATGACTTGAAAAGCTGAGTTTCCGATGCGCGCGGCTGACGGATAGGGAGATAATGCGGCCTCAGCACACACTGCAGTATGCAGCCGCCACAATCCCCTTTAGGAGGTCTGGAGCGGAAGGCCGAGTGTGGAGGCCTTGAATATGTAGCGATACCAAGGCGTTGTAGACGTGCAATGGGCTGATCCTCGGGCTGATCCTCGGACTAGTTTTGAGGCGAAGGTGACGGGGTGTCGCACACACGGAGTCCTGCAAGTCAATCGGTATGCGATCTCGGTGACTGTAGTGAAAGTGAGAAATTACAAAAGAATCTGACAACAGTCCTGGAGTCTGCCAGTAATTGTCGAATGTGGAGGAATAGTCGGGGTGAGCAGGTCTTAAGGGGAGGGCAGATCGGGGGAAACCTTGAGGACTTTGACCGGCTGTTCCTTGGTAGAGTAAAGTGATTGGACGATACGGAACACGGCGGAGGAAGTACTTTCCCACACAATTTGGCGGGTGGAGTACTTGGCTCAGCCACATCTGAGGCTGGGTAATTTACGGTAAACGGTGTACCGTATACGGTTACATTCCAAGGTCTCAAGCTTCAGATGTTTCAAATTGTTGTCTCTCCCCAGCTCTCATGTCAAAATGTCATCATTATTTATTTTCTTGGATCGATGCTACATCGATATGCCAACCCCATAAATTTGCCTCCTGCCGAGCACGTGAATGCTTGAAAGTGACATGGTCATATTCGCAGAATCCTTGATCACTCTCACTAGAGATGAACGGTTCTTCTACAGAAATGTTTGGAATGATGGTACGAGTCGTGGACGTCTGGACTCCGCCAGCCGACGTACACCACCTAGCAGGGGCTGCAGCCATCAACCGGCTCCACCATCCAGCCGCCCGTAACCCCAATGCACCCAGGTACGCTATCAACAACGCCAGTCCATGGTGCCCACGTTTTCTCCCACGCGCCGGGGTCTACTCCGTACAGTCAGGAAGATCACGGTACCTGTTACAAGCCGCCCTGTTTCCTAGGGCTTTCGGGTGAGGCGAGAATTCGGACCTCATGAGATGGCAGGTAGCATCCGAGACTCCAAGCAACTTCAAGTTCGTGGTGATTTGTTCCCACTCGTGTGAGAAGTGCACAGTGCTGGTGCATATTGGCTCGAACTAGATGGCCCATTGCGATGTCTGTCTCGTCGGATTCACTAGCCGATACGGGGATGCACCTGGCCTGACTCCTCCACATGTTGTCCTTAGTGCTCCGTAGAGACGACGGAATCCTGTTTAGCATTCTAGAACATCTAGTATCTGCGACCAGACCTGGTTGTCTTTGCTTCTTTGGCTGAGGGAATATCGATCAAGACCTCTTTGATAGGCAGAACGGTCATCTGAGTGGGGACTGCCGCGTATGCCATATTGCTCAAATGCTTGCCTGGACATTTAATTGCAAATAAGCTATATACCCTCTGAAGATAAGGAGAGTATCTCTTATTAGGAGATGTGCTAGCTTCTATGTGCATGCTCTCAATCCCCCCCCCCTCAGATTCAAGTATCAGCCATATACCTATACCTAATAGGGACCGATGACAGCGGGCTGACCGTTGGACTTCATTGCACAATGCGGGGTATATCTCCCTGCAAGCGCACGTTGGGACAGAACTTTCATCATGTACAGGATATTTTTATGATAGCCGGGAGTAACAGTCCCATTCAGGGTACTTGTCAGCCAGCCACTGACTTTGGTTCTCTTAGGGCTGTATTGATGCATACTTGGTCTAACCATTAAAAGAAAGTGCGTATGGTCCAACCCCTTCGGCTAAAAACGGCGAACCCCCCCTTGAAAGCGCTACGTCAATACATATTCTAACCAAACAACTAAAGCTATACCCCGTAGTTCAATACGATAAAAATTTCAATTGCACGATAAAACAAGACTGCGCCACACAAGTGGGCTGTATTAGCTCATTGGTGGATCTCTGGGAGCTGCGATGGGAAAAATTATACTCGTGACGTCAAGATGTTTCAGCGTACCCAGGTTTCTGCAAAGAGACAAAGGAAAAGTGCCTGTGCCTGATGATACATTGACATTCATACAGAGGCACAGACTTTCGAAGATGGAAGCTATTGTGATAGTGGGGAAAAATAAACAAGTTGTGACATACGACACTAGTATGAACTATGTATGTATTTCGTAGAAAGAAAATCTACATCTGCATGTCACAAGTTGTAGTCCGAGACTAGCGCGGTATTGGCAGGTGTGCCCAGCACATATCTTTGCTTTCCAAGGTTCCAATTTGCACATGCTACATAAGATGGCTCCATAATCTCACACGGCGAAGTCCTAGCATCCTTATATCTGTCTCAGCGCCACTATCCCCAAACATAAGAACCCCCGCTGCCCCACTCACACTAGTCTGCTTTGGTATGGAATATAAAATCGTACAAGTACACGTGCTCGCTAAACGAACCATGACGCATACATGCCTAATTCACTGTAGGGAGAAAAACATAGACAGCTATGTTATACTAATAAGAATATATGAGAGAACATGACTAGAAATAAATAACTGAATTGACATATATCATTAGCATACCTCAATTCTATCGCAAAGATAATGCATGGAGAGGAAATAGAAACCAAGTCCAGAGCGATGTGCAAAAACAAGGGTGTAAGGTTATAGAGAGAATCACACAAATCGCCGTCAAGGTTGAAGACTTCTTCATTGCCTTACTGTCTTGGCTGGGTTTCTTCGGTTGGGGATGTGTTTCCATCATCTGTGGCCTTGCCCCAAGCCTCTTCGAAGGCCGAGTCCGCCAAAGGCTCAGTCTCATTGAAGGCTGGATCTTCGGGCACGGCACTGTGTGGTTGTGGCTCAATGATCTCTTGCTCTTCCTCCTTTAAATCAGCTTCGACTTCCTTCTCAACAAGGACCTGGGAGAAAGACGATGGAGAAGTTTCATTCTCGATCAAATCCATCTCCTTAGTCAATACTGTTTCGCTCTTGGCACCAAGAAGCTCGAGGTCAAAGTTTGAACTATAGACCACGGCAGAGAAGGCCTCGAGCTCACGCACGTTCTGGTCCATGGCGACCAGGTACTCATTTGGTGGGTGGGCACCATTGCCAATCACATGTGCCTGGCGAGTCATGACAGCTAGGAGGTTGGCAAGTTTTGTCTTGCGCTCAGAGTTGGCAGCCAGGGGCACAACAGTAGCAATTGAATCGAAAGACTGTAGAGCAGTCTCCGGTGCGGAGGTGGGCGCCTTGAAGGCGTCAGCGGCACACCTTTGATCAATAAGGGTTGAGAATCCCTCATTGTTAAGAAGTGTGAGGACGAGGGAGAAAGAGGGAGAGTCAATCAAATCCGCTGTCTCATCTAGGAGGTGTCGCAGCTTCGTTGCTGTCTGGGAAGAGGTCGGGTCAGCTACGCCTTCCACGCCCGACTCGCGCAAGACATGTTCCTCTTCCTCTGCCGGGGGAAGCAAGCAAGAAAGCCACTTTTGAGATCGTCGCTCGTCCTCGGTGCTGCCTTCCACCTTCTTGCGGATTTGCAAGGTCAATTCAGAGAGCTTGGCTAAACTGATATCCTCACGTGGATTCAAAGGCCCAAATACTTCCTCTACGGCAGTTTGTACTCTTCCCATCAGGTCCTTCCATCCGCGGTGAAGCAGCCACCAACTGAAGGCTAGGTAACGTCGGTTGGTCTCAAAGTCATCGCCCAATGTTTGAGTGAGTTCATCATCATGGTCTTCAAGACTGATTGTCGAGGTGTTGGCAGGTGGTGTAGCAAGGGAAATCACGCTGGATAGGTAGTTCCGACGGCCGAGCAGGTTGAGTTGGATGTGAGTGAAGACGGTGAGCAAGGATAGAGTGTAGATCATAGTAAAAGACCGAGTGACAGCTAGAAAACTTTAGTTTCTGACAGACAGGGTTTTATGCCGAAATAAAGACTCACAGGTAATCTTCACCTCATTCCACAGCTGTGTCTTGTTCCGTTTGGGCCGAGGTTGTCCGTCCGAGTTCAGAGAAGAGTCCCCGATCTGGCTTGCGTGCACATATCCTTCACTCTGGAAACTGGAGAGGCTTCTCCGATCATCGTCTGGCAGACTCGGGGATACGGAGCTCAGATCCGACCCAGTTGCCTCACCTGCATTCAGTCGAGCCAACCTCTCCGCTCGCTTCTGCTGCAGCTCCTTGGTCAACTCCTCAACCGGGAGGGCATCGATAATATTCTCGGCGGCGGTCGGCAATAATGCGAGGACAGTATATGTGCAATCGGTCTGGTTTTGTTCGAATCGTCGGCGGAGACTAATGCCATGGGTCAGTGATTCCGGTTCGGGGTATCTGGTCGGGGTTCCACCCGTTGCAAGCTCGCGTGCTTGCTAGCGGAGGGATAAGAGTCATCGAGAAACAAGGGAAACTTACTTTTCGCGAGCAATCCGATCGCTGCTCATGCGCTCGCGTGCCTCGGAGATCTTGGATAGCACGTATTGGCCGGCCAAGTAGCCAGCTCCTATCACCCCAGCCCCGATTGCAAGACCTTTGCGATTGCGCTGGAACCAGCGCCTCGTCGCACCGATCATATTTGTGTTTGGTACTTCTCTAACAAGAAGTTAAAATGACAGGCAATTTTAAATCATGATAAATCCAGGGAGATGGATGGTTCAGTAGATGGGGAAGAGAGGCTTCGGGCGCTGATCGCCAATTTCAGGCCTCGGCTAGAAGCTCACCGTCATGCAATGTGAGTGAACCGAACCTATAAAGCACTACAGAGGACTAAGTACCTGCAACATCCTAGTTAACTAGCTATATGCTCTACTAGACATTTAACTATCTTCGTATTCCTCTGAAATGTCAAACATGTCCCACTAGAGCTCTCCCCCGGATTTGGCATGGCCATCCCGCAACAACCCGCTAATCCCTGGATGCATCCTTCTTGTTCATTCTATTCTCATTGCTCTTTATATACTTTGCATACTCCGCATACTCCGTACACTCCGTACTTCATTAAATGGTCTCTTTCAAACTGGTTTCCCCCCAGTTCGATGATAAGCGATAAGCTTCAGTCGGCTACGCCCGATACAGGTCCGCCCCCCTTGCCATATCAGCCGTGGAGTCATCACTCCACCTTACACCCCTCCAGCTCGATGCAACACCAACTTGCTCACTAATTATCCCTCCATTCTGTAATTACAACAATACTCCCCCTTCTCCCAACAAGAACCGTCTGAGACTGCATCCAACCCCAACCGGCTTGGTTGCGAGCTGCGTCATGGCGGGGATGGAGCCCCGCAAAACCCCTCCGGAGTACTTCCTGGAGATCTTCGCCGACACCACCCATGTGCGAGATGTACTGAAGGGTGAGTCGTGAGCTTGAGACGTTACAAGCACGTTTTTGCTAAATAATATTTCCTGCCAGGTGTCCTGAACCTCATCTTCTTCCACCGTTACTTCCCTTCTATCCGGCCGGTCACCTTTGATGTGCTCGATTTCACACTCCCCGCTATAAACGATGCAGATCTAGAGACGCTAATTGAATCGCGCGTATCAGCTCTGGTCCGACAGCACCTGTCCTCCGCAGCCGGTGGGCAGGATGGCCAGATTGTCGGAGGGGGCGGGGGTGTGCGAGGACGGATCGCAGTCGAGTTCTACGAGAAGAAACGGCGGCGCTCAGGGCACTGGTTTGGCGGATTGACAGGGAAAGGCGAGGAAGAGGTGTGCTGGGAGATTTGGACCCTTGATGTGACGATCGCGACACCGCGCACTGAGTCCGGTATGTACAGTCTGTGGATCCCTTTATCCAGAGCTAATTCGGCTACAGAACGAGCCAAGGTGCGCAAGGCAATGGGAAATATGCTGCAAAAGGCAGCGTTGAAAATCCTGAGCGTTGTCAATCGAGATAAAGACCACATCCCGCCCATTACCACTAGCGATTCTAACCCGTTCCCCTATCGGATTGTCGTCAACCCTCGCGCGGACGGCTGGGGAAACCGCATAGGGCTCTACTGAGCTATGCGGTTTGACTAAGAGCTTGGACGACACACCTCGACCATCAAGTCTGATACGTTCCCAATCCGATTATTGTTCAACCAACCGGACACGTTGCTTTTATTTCCTTCAGTGGAACATGGCCGCGGGCGATCAACCCCGATACGATTTACGAAATCTGTCAGATATTATTAAAAAGGGCTTTTACTATGAGCCTACGAAACCCTCATGTGCTGTGCTTGAAAATTTAAGCAATGGCCATACGGAGTTCAGTGCTTAGGTGTTTTTTTTTTTTTTTTGGGACTCTTGAGAAGGCTGGGCTGGTTCTGTTTACAATGAGGTGTAAGTACATATGGATCTTTTTTTTAACTCAATTACGAAAATCAATACGAACATCCTGTCGGGCTATATATTGAGCCCTAACGAGGCAGGAAAGACCAGAGATGTGTGCAATCTCGGTGTACAATGTCTCTTCAACCAGACCACCGTGGTATTTGTTTTATAGTACTTCGTAAAATACAATATGTGGGAGCTACACCTGCATGAAAGCCTGCACGTTGTAAGCAAAATGGTACCTCTGGGCCAATAATATTCCATTTGATCCCCCAACACCCAATATTTAGCTGCAGATACACTGCCCCTCCATGCAGTGTACCAACACCCTAATGCAAAACCAAAGAAGCATCACATTGCTCCAAGCAGAAGCTGACAATGACGACGAAAGTTATTTCCGACTTCTAATCAACGGGTCAGTCAGGTATATCACCATTGCCCAAGGCATCTGGAGCACAGATGATATGTGCTTCGGCCCATCCCTAGCCACGATTCTCCCCGAAATTCCTACAGGCAATTGGAACGATGGACTAGTAACCAAACACCCAGAAACCGGCGAGCCGTACTTTGCCCGCGCCACTCGAACCTCGTTTCCAGGAGTTGAGAATACATGGCATGACACCTTTGTTGATTACATGGATCTCGGGGAGAGCAGGAGACTTCGAACGGGCGTCTACGAAGTCAAATGCCCCCAATTTGAGGAACTTATCGTCGTCAAGTTTGCTCGCTTTGATTGGGAAATTGGATACCTGGAAGGCGAGACTTGTGCCTACCGATTGATTGAGGGCTGTGACATTAGTCCCCGGTTCATGGGACATCTCACTGAAGATGGTCGTGTTATTGGATTTTTGATGGAGCGTATCGCTAATGCACGGTATGCTGGGCCTCATAACCTTGAACTTTGCCGAAAGACTCTTGCTCGGTTACATGCTTTGGGAGTTAAACATGGTGATGTGAATCGGTTCAACTTCCTGATTCGGGATTCGAAAGCTATTTTGATTGATTTTGATACGGCCCGCAAGTGTGATGATTCTAAGTTGCTTGCTGAAGAGCTCTGCAACTTACAAGAAGCGTTGGAATCTTCGTCGGAGAAGGGCGGTGGGGGGTATCTTTGTTAGCACTAGCTAGCTGTCATTGTCAGTATACAACGTACCGGTCGAGTTGGCTTTGGGACGGTTACTTTGGTCACTGCACATCTCAAGGCTGTTAAGACGTCCCGTTCACCTGTCTGATGCTGAACAGGATGTTATCAACGAACTTCATCATTCTTTCTATGATAGGAATATAGCCCAGGACATTGACCATGTTGCCATTAATGCCGAGGCACACGGCTTGGTCAAGTTTTCGGAGCAGTCTCTTCAAAAGGGAGGGTGGTTTAATGTCGGGCCAGCTTCTTGAGGTCGACCCGTTTTTGCTCGGCTTGGACCTTGGAGCAGACTGTTAAAGGGTGCTTGATTTGTACACTCGAAGAATGGTTTTAAGATGTGTATTGAGACGAACTATCCTATTGATCGATTGATGAGATCTGTAAACATCATCAAAGGAAATATCTATAAGGACGGCTGTGCACTATGTTTTGAGAAGGCCATAGGATCCCAGAATGATGCATCATATGACTTGTATGGGAAATGAACTAGCATGGGCTTCCGTGAGGACGCAGCTCGACGGCACATAGAGCAGCACCCCGATGAAGATTTACGTAGATGACGTAGCTAGGTAGGTAGATCCTCCAAGGTTAAACATTGGAAAATAACTGCATGCACATTCACAACATACGAACTAAACAACTAATTCACTCGAGTGTGACAAAATGGCAAGAATCAAGATAAAGCATTCTCATATTCAGCGAAAATCCAACCGCGGACCCGTCACAACATTTCTCGGGTCCTCTCTATTTCATATTCCAGCTATTGCACTGCTCCTATTTAATCATAGCAACGAAGCTTTGAGCCAACCACTTCACTTCGTGCTTAGTGCCCCACCGGGCACAGAGAATCGAATCCGCGACCCGCGCCAAAGCAGATTCCACGGAACTTATATTGTCGATGCGATTCTCGGCTAAGAGGTAAGACTGCCTACACTCCTTTAGTTGGAGTGGGGCTTGCTCGCAGCCTCGGCCTGGGCGCGGAGGTTGGAGGAGGTACCGTTGGTGGAGAAGAAACGGCCAACCACGGGCTGGAGGAAGGAGTGGAAGACAATTTGGGCACCGCTGCGAAAGAGGTCAGCTACTGGGTCTCGAATTTGTTATAGGATAGTGACATACCTGGTCTGGGGAAGAGCCATCCACATGATCAGAACGAACTTGAAGATGTAGTAGAAGGCTGCGATCAGTTAGCAAAATAGTAGGAAGATTGGTGTCTTGTGGGCACATACGGAACCAGTAAGCGGCGCTGATGGCGCTCTCAATAACAGTCAGGAAGGCGAAGACAACCCAGTACTATCAAGTGATATGTTAGAATCATTGGTCGTGTGCAAGCGGAAAAGATGTCACGTGGGTGGTGTATGATGACCCCGAATCGGCGGTGATCCCATACTTCCGTACGCTTGCGACAACAAGGTGATAGAATCAGGTGAACATACTGTAAGCCACTATGAGAGTGAAGAAAGACAAAGTTAGCGATTTGCGCATAAAAAGGAAAAAGGTTACAAAAAAAAAGTCTTACCTGGGTGTCATCCTGGGTGCTCGAGGTGAAGAGCGCCTGGAGGGAGTAGTAACCGGGAACCAGGAAACCGGCAAAGTTGACGAGGAACTCGCCAGCAATGTTAAAGAAGACCAGGAAGAAGTAGATTCCGACAAGGCCGAGGATGACATAGACCTTGGGGACATTGGTCTGACGCTCAAGGTTGGCGAGGACGGGGTACTTGGAGAGCTACAAAATGACAGATGTCAGCTCAAAATCACAGCGATAAGTAGCACAGTGAAGTGGATATTAATGAAAGTGATTGCAGTCACTCCTGCTGTGGTCACTGGCGCTTAGAAGCATTGCAGCCACCAGGCGAGGGCTAGGATCCGAGGGCTAGGATCCGAAGCGCCAGCGAAACACACAACAATGGCTGGAAACGTACCTCCTTGTCAAGCTGAGCAATAGAGTGCTGGGCACGCTCCTGGAAAGAGGCCATTTTTGCTTATAAAGGGTATCGTTTGTGGGAAAACAAGTCAAAGAGCTAATAGGATGACAATGGAGCGAGGGATGGTGAGAATGCAACAGGTAAAGCTGGCGGCAAGAAGACAGAGGCTAGCCTGTGTGTATCACGTGATGAACATGACGTATCCGTCCACTGTGGGTGCCATGTGAAGCTGCAAAACGTAGATTGCTATTGGTTTGAAATCTATGAGTGTATCATTAGTGGCTTTTTATCAGAAGATTTAGTTCTGAAGGCCATACAGATCTGGTCACCTATATCTCTAAACATATCGTCTACTGAAGTGCCTAGGTAACTAACTAACTGAGGGGCTTAAGGCAAACATATTGATGGCCTTAAAATGTACCGAGGGTTAAGCTTCAATAGTGTTAACCCTGAAGTACTTTGAAACAGATTTCAAATGCAACATTTGAAGTTGGATGTATGTACGGAGTACTCCGTACTTTGTATCAGAATCAGTCCGCTTTATCTCTCCACAAATCTCCCGATCTAGTCATACCTAGGCACATCCTACACATGACGTACGCGGCTTTCCCCGAAATCATCAAGGACTGTTTGCTTGATAAAGACATATATGTACCTATGTCGTAGCCTGTTTGCGTTTTAAACGATTTTTTTCTTCTATGAAACCGGGGGGCAGTTCCTTTGTGGGCCTCCCCTGCAGCAGTTGGTCCATTCGGGTCTATGTGATGCATCCTTCTCTTTCTCCCGAGGTCCCCGCCAATAAACAATTGTCCAATTATGGAGCATATCTTTAATTCCACACTCTCTCTCACACGAGGTATCAGTTTGAAATATAAAAAATGACAGATGCTGAGTTTCCTCAAACACAAGTGACCTCGGGATTCTGTTTCAACGCCTTGATACATCCACATGTCAGTCACGTGACACATATTCACAGGGATGGCAATTAAAAAACGGCAAAGAAAAGATTAAAAAAGACCCGAAAAGACTAAAAAAAGAAAGGATCAAACATTGCCGAGAAGACAGTATACATTTACAGTTAGTGCCTGACCGCCAGAGACGATCTCGGCATATGATGTGATTGGGTCGAAGGGCTAAAAGCGACAGAGAAAGACGGAGAGGGCAATTGGGCTAACTCCCGTTATCAGACCTTCTCCCCTCTTCTCGAAAAATTCATGCCGAGACGCCTAAATATCTTCGCATTACTCTATATGTGTTAAATACTCTTCAGTGGATCCTTGAATCCCTCGAATCCCTCGAATCTCCTTATCCCGTGCACGAAAAGGCGGGCCATGTAACCGCTCCCGCGTACCGCCCTTTCAAGCTCTTCCATCCCCAAGTGAGCTACACAATACAATTGAAGCATTCTACGTCGTTTATGGGCCAATTCGTCACAATCAACTGTTCTTCACTTTGAGATCGTCATTTATCCCACGTGGGATCAACACTAAGCCCGACATTCGGCCCTCGAGAGCTATTTCGATTTCCATTCCGAATCACTAAATAATATCGATACACCTTTCTCAATGCGGCCACAGTGAGTCCATGGATAATTCCCGAATACCCGCAAGATGCAAGTCTAATTGTTTGTTTGCGCCCTGTTTAGACGCGAATACCATATTGTTGTTTTGGGTGCTGGTAGGAGCCTCAACTCCTGAGATATCCCCATAGGTCACAGGCTGACCACAGGTATTTCCATGCGATAACAGGAGGTGTCGGAAAAAGTTGCTTAACAGGTTCGTTCCTTGCGTTCTCCGCTCTGCCCTGAGTTCTCAGGCTGATCAACAATCGCTTTTCAGCCCAATTCGTTCAAAATGTCTGGATCGAAAGTTACGACCCCACGATCGAAGATTCATACCGGAAACAGATTGAGGTAGACGTAAGTGGTCTAACATGCGCTGGAGTTACCCCCTTGTTAACCAAGTTTGACAGGGTCGGCAATGTATACTGGAGATGTGAGTAACTCGGTAGTTTGGATATGGCATGATGCTAAATTTTCGAAGTCTTGACACTGCAGGAACAGAACAGTTTAGTAAGTCTCCACCCAAATCTGCACACCTACTCATGTGAGATCAAAGCTAACAATTCCCAAGCGGCAATGAGGTAAATCTAGTCATCAATCCACCCACCACCCACGATCGATTCCGCAGACCGACCCCGAGAAAAGCATACCGTACTAACAACCCTCTCTGCAGAGAGCTCTACATGAAGCAAGGCCAAGGCTTCCTCCTCGTCTTCTCCATCACGAGCATGTCCTCCCTAAACGAACTCTCCGAGCTCCGCGAACAAATCATCCGAATCAAAGACGACGAAAACGTCCCGATCGTGATCGTGGGCAACAAATCCGATCTGGAAGAAGACCGCGCCGTACCACGCGCCCGCGCCTTCGGCTTATCCCAGAAATGGGGTAACGCCCCGTACTACGAGACCTCTGCCCGGCGCCGCGCAAATGTCAACGAAGTCTTCGTCGATCTGTGTCGCCAGATCATCCGCAAAGACTCCGAGGGCTCAAGGAGCAGCAGCGATCCCAACCGCAAGCGCGAGGGCCCGAACCGCCATGACCGCAAGAGAGAAAAATGCCGGCCGAAAAATCGCCGCGGGCCGTGTGTCATCCTTTGATTTCAACAATTCGAGGGGCCCTTTTGACTGGGGAGCCCTTGTCTTGTTTCATTTTCATGCGATACGACCCTCTGCCATATATGCCCCACCCGACGTTACTATGCATCTTAACATGTCATGTATGACTGATGTTCTTTCTATATGTTGCCGATATGTCTGTGCCTCTCTCCCCTATAGAACTATGCTTTGCTGCTACAGATTTGTATCTTTTCTTTTCTTTTGGGCTGTACACAATTGGTGTCATCCCTTTTTTTCATATTTGACATACTTGAGGTTTGGTTGATCTGGACTCTAAAAGGATTATTTTCACGAGATGGAGGAAAAAGTGCTTTCTTTTCTTTTGGTCTTGTTGCTATTATCTTTTGGTTGATGGGCTCGCGCTAGACCCCTTGAATGTTTGGCATGTGGTTGAACCCTTTGCCCTCAACATAGAAAGGTGTGAGAATATAGTACCGGATATTATAGACGATCCGAATCTCTTTCTGTGATGAGCTCCTTGGACCTGCTAGACTAAAAAATGATAGTCTAGAGAGGCCTACATGCGGAACACACCAAACCTGGTTTGCACATCTGGCTCGGCCTTACCACTGAGTGCGGCTGCTAGACCTAACCCCAGCATTTTCCTCGTCTGAGATGGTGGGATGATACCATCGTCCCACAAACGAGCTGATGAAAAGGTCGCTTCTGATTCACGGTCGATGCGTTCTTTCAAAGCCGGATCAGCAGTTCGTCCGACAGCCTCCATAACGGCAGATAGTTGCTCAGAGCCCATAACACCGATCTTAGCATTAGGCCACATAAAGAGAAGACGAGGCGAGTAGGCACGACCACTAGAGCAAAACCAGTTAGAAAAGAATTAAAGACAGGCCAAGCAGAGAAACTTACCACATCCCGTAGTTACCAGCACCAGCACTGGAACCAAACACAACAGTGAACTTGGGGACATCGGCGCACGCAACAGCAGTGACAAGCTTAGCACCGTTCTTTGCGATACCACCCTTCTCAGCATCAGCACCGACCATGAAGCCCGAGATATTCTGCAAGAACACAAGAGGGATCCGCCGTTGAGCACAGAGCTCAATGAAATGCGCTCCCTTGAGCGAGGACTCGGAGAACAAGATTCCATTGTTAGCAACAATTCCGACACGATGACCGTGGATGCGGGCAAAGCCTGTTACCAGGGTCGAGCCATAATCACGCTTAAACTCGGCGAATTCACTCCCATCGACAATCCGGGCGATGACCTCGTGGACAGGGATCTGGCGTCGTAGATTCGTGCCAACGATCCCGTTTAGCTCATTAGGGTCATACAGGGGTTCTTTCACGACAAGTGAATCTCCATTCCCGTTCTCCAGCTGAAGCGGAGTTGTCGTGGTAGGGTAGTTGAGATTCGCGACGGAGCGGCGAGCAAGAACAAGAGCGTGCGCATCATCGACAGCCAGGTAGTCCGTAACACCGGAAATGCTCGAATGCAGCTGGCCACCACCCAGGTCCTCGGCGGAAACCTCCTCGCCCGTCGCGGCTTTGACGAGAGGCGGGCCTGCCAGGAAGATTGTTCCCTGGTTCTCGACGATGATGGTTTCGTCACTCATAGCAGGCACATATGCACCACCCGCTGTGCAGGGACCCATGACAACGGAGAGTTGTGGGATACCGAGGGAGCTCATGCGGGCCTGGTTGAAGAAGATCCGGCCGAAGTGATCACGGTCTGGGAACACATCTGCCTGGTGAGGCAGATTTGCACCACCAGAATCAACCAGATAGATGCAGGGGAGGCGGTTCTCTTGTGCAATCGCCTGTGCGCGCAGGTGCTTCTTTACTGTGATGGGGTAGTAGGTGCCGCCCTTGACAGTGCTGTCGTTGGCAACGATCATGCAGTTGACACCCTCGACCATTCCAATGCCGGTGATGATTCCGCCGGCTGGAACATCCTCGCCGTAAACCCCGTGTCCTGCGAGTGCCGATAGCTCCAGGAAGGAGGTGCCTGGGTCGACTAGGGCAGAGATGCGGTCTCTTGGGAGCATTTTGCCGCGGGCGATGTGCTTTTCGCGCGCTTTGTCATTTCCTCCGCGTGCAATTTTTGTGTGTAGGCTGTTCATCCGGTCTAGGAGTTCTTGCATTTGTTCGCTGTTTTCGCGGTACTCCTGTGAGGAGGTATCCACTGCTGTGGGGAGGACGGAGAGGGCTGAGGCATGGTGAGGATGTGTATAGCTTGCTACCGTTCTATAAACTGGTCGCGTAATATTTGTTGACTGGAGATATTTGCGTGGTCCGAGTCGTGAGCCCCAGCTCCGGAGGACGAGCGGGGACGGAACACGCATTGCGGGGAAGAGGGTGGAGTGTAGCTGATTCCGAGAAGAAATTGGCAGAGCTCAGCTCGAGTCAAAATGGGGAGGTATGTTTAGGTATATTATAAGTTTCGTGAAGTATTTAAACTTATACTAACAGTGGACAGTAGAAGAGGAAGAATGAAGCGAGGCACAAAGCTGGGGTTTCCCCAAATGCGGAGGTGCGACGATTGCCGCTTATACCCGAGGGCCATCATCATCATCCCCATGAGAAGACTAAAAAAGACAAAAAGATGTTGGAAAATTGGAGACGCAAAGGGAGAAGAAAGTAGACAAATCAATTAACCTGTAGATAGATCATAGTATTGGTCAGAGATCCAAAAACGTGAAGACTAGTATGTTCCAAGGTGGGAGCTCATAGTACAACATATACACTACAAGTCCTTGATTGCGCGCCGAGGACTACCGCACCCCCCCTGCACACATATTTAAGAGGTCCACCTCCCCAAAGACAATTACCTTGCATTTTGCATTCTACATCGATTCTCCCATATAATCATGGCTTCCTTAACCCTCCCTTCTCTCCTTCGCACATCAACGCGTGCGTTGCGGCTAAACCGCATCCCCGCACTCACCCCATGTTTCCGCTCCATCTCAACAAAGCACCCCACCGGCTTCGCACCTCCGTCCGAGGAGGATCTCCTAGAGCTGCGAGAGCGTGTGCAAGATTTTACAAGTGAGTTTCCCGTGCTTTTGCCCAAGCCGCATTTCTAACCTTGCTGTAGGGCGAGAGATCCCAGCCGATGTTGCTGCACGGACAGATGAACAGAATGAGTTCCCAGTGGAGATGTGGAAGAAGATGGGTGATGCTGGGTATGGGTTCTCCCAAGCGGTTGATTAACTTCTTTAAGAAGGGAGTGTGTTACAGCGCGCATACTAACATGTATGAAGATTCCTCGGTGTCACAGCAAATGAAGAGTACGGTGGCTTGGGTATGGGCTACCAGGCACATTGTGTGGTGATGGAAGAGATCAGCCGAGCATCTGGTAGGTCTTCCAGTATATGTCCATTTGAAAACATCGATCTGACCTCGGTTCTGAATAAAAAGGAAGCATCGGTCTTTCTTATGCTGCCCACTCCCAGCTCTGCGTGAACCAGCTCTCCCTCAATGGCTCGACAGAACAAAAAGAGCGCATTCTTCCCGGTCTCCTATCAGGCGAAAAGGTCGGTGCTCTTGCAATGTCGGAGCATTCAGCTGGCTCCGACGTAGTCAGCATGAAGACCTCGGCGAAGGAAGTTGATGGAGGCTGGCTCTTGAACGGAACCAAGATGTGGATTACCAACGTAAGTCACGTTGCTGGTATAAAGGGAATCAGAAGTTCCGACCTCATTGCTCACACTTTCTTACAGGGCCCCGATGCCGATTACATTGTCGTATACGCCAAGACAGAGCCTGAACTAGGTTCCAAAGGTATCACAGCGTTCATTGTCGAGAAGACCTTCAAGGGCTTTTCATGCGCACGTAAGCTCGATAAATTGGGCATGCGTGGCTCTAACACAGGCGAGCTCATCTTTGAGGATGTTTTCGTTCCCCAAGAGAACCTCCTGGGTGAGCTGAACCGCGGTGTCCGTGTATTGATGGAGGGTCTGGACTTGGAGCGACTCGTTCTGAGTGCAGGACCACTAGGGTGAGCCCTCCCATACCCCAGCGCACCTCTCATATTCTAACATCCCCCAGAATTATGCAAGCCGCACTTGACCTCGTCCTTCCTTACACACACGTGCGTAAGCAATTCGGTCAACCGATCGCCCACAACCAGTTGATTCAGGGCAAGCTTGCGGACATGTATACTAAGCTGGCTGCCTCGCGTGCGTACACTTACGCCACAGCACGACAGGTAGATAATGCTGCCGTGGAACCTGGCGAGATGACCGTCCGCACTCAGGACTGCGCCGGCGCGATCCTCTACGCCGCTGAACGCGCGACTGAATGCACGCTTGATGCTATCCAGCTCATGGGAGGAAGCGGGTACATCAACGAGATCCCTGCTGGACGCCTTCTCCGGGACGCGAAGCTGTATGAGATTGGTGCCGGTACAAGTGAGATCCGTAGGATGGTCATTGGCCGTGCATTCAACAAGGAGTATGCTTAAACAAGAGAATTATACACAAAAATACTTCATTAGGTACGATGCTATCTCTTTAGAGAGTATATGCAAAAATTCATTTTAGTCGTTGTACATGTCATAAATGGCCCTATTTCAAACATTACCAACAACCATCCTACTTCTTCTGTCTAGCAGACCTGCGCACCGGCGGTGCCGCATGCTTTGTAGCCTTATCACCACCACCTTTCCGCAACGCAACCCTCTTCGGACGAGGTGACGCCGTGTCCTCATCGGTATCATCCTTCTGTGCAACGGCCTTCCGCTTCCGCCCTCTCTTCAACGGAATCACAACCTTCGGCGGCGAAGACAGTTTCATCGAGCGGAAAGAATCCGGATCCGGGTCCGGAGTTGTATTCGAAGCATCCCCAGTATCTCCAGCATCAACCGCCGAGGAATCCGACAAGATAACATCAGACATCTCGTCCTCGCTATCAGACTCGTCATCTGTGCCATCACCAGCGAACATTTCATCGTCAGCCAGCGACGGGTCGATGGGCTTGGATTCAACAACGTGTCGGCTTTTCAGGCGCGACCTATCCAGCGCCGGTTGGGCAGATTTGAAGACCTCCCGCCAGTTCTCCAGAAGCGCGACTTTCTCGCCCGTGTCCGGCTCGTACAAAATGGCGACGTCCTGGTCCCGGTCCAGCGCGGGTGTTTTCCACACCACGCCCTGGAAAGAGGCGATATCCGGCACAAGTGGAGATTTCGTCGGCGGGATTCTGGCGATGTGGGCTTTTGGACGGGAAGATGCTTTCGTTCGTCGTGGTGCTGTCGCTGCGATCGCGGTTCTTTTCTTTCTCTCTGCGCTTTGTTCGACGGTTGCGTCATCGTCGTGGTAATCGTCTGAATAATAGTCCCAGTCGCTGAAATATTCTTCGACATCAATGCTTGGGTCTTCGTATAGGGCGGCTTCGTAATATGAGGAAGCGGCGAGATCGTCCTGGATAAGCAAAGTTTTGGTTAGGGTCTGAATTGATGCGGTTTTCTCGTGCAAGACTGATGGCACGAGTCGATTTAGGTATCGCCTTGAGGACTGTACTTACGACCATGTCTGGGACTAAATCCTCGTACATGTATTCATCCTCGAATTCATAGTATTCATCGTCGTCGGACATCTTGGAGTGGATACCGAGAGAAAAAAAAGTTGAAAGAGATTGAGTGGCGAGAATTTCGAGGGGGCGTTTGCTAAATGAATGACAAGACTTGAACGAAAGTAAATCAAGTAAAGATATGTATAGCGCGTGCAAAACGAGGATGCACGGCTGACGTGACAGAGTGAAGATCGGACTGATCGTGCATTGAAGAAGATGGATGGCAATCCTGCTAACATAAGCCTTGGCGTTGCCCGTCTCCACCTTGGAGATCTACATCTCACCTACAGCCTGAGGAACAAGGCATCAATGCACCTTTTCATAAGTTCAATAGAGACTTAGATTTTACTTCTCTTTCTTTTGCTGTTTCATTCTAGACTCGGCTTTTTGGGCTTTCTTTAGGTTTTCTCTGTATGAAATGTCTGTCATGTCTCGTGCTCTGCATGCACTTTTGACTTTGCTTTCCGTTCTGTATACAGCAACAGCTAACAATTATATGAAAAATGCACGTTATATTTGGCATTCGGACATCGAATAACTTCGTCCATTTTCTACTTATGGTATCACAAGTGCTCAGGTGACATTATCCAAATATACTAGTCCATTCAATAAGTTCGAAGTACTATACCTTTTACAGTATACATTTCCTTCATCCGGACCGGACATCTAAACTATAAAGCCCATTCATCTCATTCAAACTACGTCGATTACTTGAATAGATATCGGAAGCTATCGAGGGTCTACGTCATACCAAGTTATATATATCCCCCCTCTTCCTTTTCTCTCTCCTTTTTTCCTTTCCTTCTACAACCATCCCACACGATGTGCCTCCGTGGACTCCCATCGTTCGTCCCCATTGGGACTCCCACCTGCTGAAGAGGATTGAATTTAACAAACCAATCATGGCCTTTTGAAAGAAATTACCTGTGTGCTTTGAATTTTAAAGTTGAAAACCTCATCACCTCAGTGCTTGGGTAGGGGTCAAGGGCCCTAGCCTTTATTCAAGTGCTGAGCACCCGTGTATTCCTATATCTGGGCTTGATGTCCTCAGTAGAGACTGCGGCGCCTGTGGTCTTTTCTGGTGGCTGATAACTTGGATTCTTACTCTCTCTTATCTTCGCCGGTGTTTGGGAGAGATCCAGGGCCCGGATCTCTCTTCAAGTACCGAGCATTCGCATTCTTGATACCTGGGTTTGATGTACTGAGTGGAGACTGCGGCGCCTGTGGTCTTCATTTGGAACTCATATCTCGGGCTCTAAAACCCGCCTGCCTGATGACTGATAACTGTTGTGAGACACTAATGCATGAAAGACATACCCTCAGCTGGAGTTGACGTCGTGTGGGATTGGTTCAATCAACGTCTGTGGATGTCTCTCTCATCCCCATCCAGACCAGCAGTTTTTCCCACTGGGTTTCCTGCCGGCTGGCCGTTCAACTATGTTGAACCTTTCCTGGTGAACACTTCATTTTCAACCGAGAGCCTTTCCCACGTGGTTTTCTCTCGGTTGGATATTCACCACGGTGTCATTGATACCAATATGGTACAAAACATCACCACTCGAGGCACTCTTTCCGGCTGGGTAGCTTTCCCCACGTGGGTTTTTCTCCTGGCCGGTTTTGACGAGGCCTCAATTACACGACAACTCAAGACAATCTCTTGGAAACATGAGCGGCTCGACACTGCCGCCTGGAAATGGAAAGAATATGGTGGAGGAAATCAAATTGGTCGAACTTGAAGAAAAAAATGGTCATGGCAACCCGTGCCACCCGATGAGTCCCGAAGAAACAAACGGACTCAACTGCCCATTGAACACCTTGAAGAAGAGAACAGGGACGGGTTGCCATGCCACCACTGCCCCTCGAACGGGGCCCGAAGAAAAAAACAAGCACGGCAACCCGTGCCACCCAATGAGTCCTGAAGAAACAAGAGGACTCAAATACGCATCAAATCGACTTTGAAGAAACAACAGGCATGGCAGCCCATACCACCCATTAAGTCCTCTTAGGACTTACCTGCCTACTGAACCGACTCCGAATAAGGAAATAGGCATGGGCTGCCATGCCAACCAATTAGTCCTCTTGTTTCTTCAGGACTCAACTGCCCAATAAACAGATTGAAGAAGAAAATAGGCACGGGTTGCCGTGAAACCGCTGCCCACCGAACGGGCCTCGAAGAAGAAAACAAGAATGGCAACCCATGCCACTCAATGAGTCCTGAAGAAACAGGAGGACTCTACTACGCATCAAACCGACTTTGAAGAAACAACAGGCATGGCAGCCCATACCACCCATTATGTCCTCTTAGGACTTACCTGCCCATCGAACCGACTCTGAAGAAGAAAATGGGCATGGGCTGCCATGCCAACTGATTAGTCCTCTTGTTTCTTCGGGACTCAACTGCCTATTGAACGGATATTGAAGAAGAAAATAGGCATGGGTTGCCATGCCACACCCCGAAGAAGAAACTCGGCATGGGTTGCCATGCCCCCCCAATGAGTCCTAATGAAACAAGAGGGCTCAAGTGCCTATTGAACGAATGCTGAAGAAGAAATTGGGCATGGCAACCCATACCTCAACTGCCCATCAAAAGGGCCCCCAAAAAACACCAATATCAATATCGACAACATCAATATCTAAAACAACTCAAAAACAAAACAACGCCAATATCAATATCGACAACATCAATATCTAAAACAACCAAAACAACAAAACAACGCCAATATCAATATCCAAAACAACAAAAAAAATGCCAATATCAGATTGATGGTCAAAGTGGATGAAAGTGAACCCCAAGAACAACCCAAGAACAACCCAAAAACAACTCAAAAACAACTTAAAAACAAAACAATGCCAATGCCAGATTGATGGTCAAAGTGGATGAAATTGAAACCCAAAAACAACCCAAAACAACCCAAAAACAACGCCAATGTCAGATTCAATCGATGATCAAAGTGGATGAAAGTGATGAATACCCAACAACACCCCCAAAAAAAAAGAAAAAATCAACAAAACAAAACAACAAAAAAACAAAAAAGCAAGATAATGGAGGAAATCCAAGGCAAAAGGGAAATTGGAGAAAATTGGAGAAAATTGGATTCAATCTATGTACGGGGTACTCTTTCCAGCTGGTTGTATTTATCCCACAGGGTTTTCTTCCAGCTGGTTTTAACGAGGCCTCGAATTCATGTCGGAGGAGATGAATATTGAGTTCTATTTTTGTATGGAATGAGGACAACTGATGTGTGGAAGGTGTTATTGGAAAGCCTGAGGGAGGGCATGGCACCTCTCTTTCGGACTTTCCAGCGACAAATTCAAAGAATTATATAGTTGTTACTAAATGGTTCGGGGGAGGGCATGGCACCTCTCTTTCGGATTGTATGGTAACCCAAGACAATCAAAATTAAATTTAAGATCATTACTTACATTCTTTATATACTATGTTGTATTCTAGAAAGGCAATCATTATGTAGTAGCGTTTGATAGAAGAGGTCTCTTGCTTGGGAATATATTTGTGCAATTTGAAAGCTAGTCGCTGCGCTGGTATAAACTTCAAATCTTATGGTGATAGTTGACTCAATTCTCTTCCAATCAAATCTTGCAGTAAAGTTCCCAGATACCTGAGTATCCCAACCAATCCAAGAACAACTCATTGAGCCCTTGTCGCAGAAGTTCATCCCCCATATAGTACTTTCTTGTCTTCTCCCGCACAGCGGTTCCAAGGGCACTCTGAAGAGGTTTTCCTAGCCGGATTGTTTCGACGGATCTCAGGAGGTCCATCCAATAGACACTCTCAGGCTGCCACCGTCGTTCATCATCTGCGGCTGATGCAAGTTTCTCGAAATCCGGTAGTGATTGAACAGTCTCCCAAATTCTAGGTGCATCATAGTATGGCGGTCTGCCATACTTCCTCAAAACTCCCTGAGTATATTCGGGATCAACCATCTGTCGAGAGGTTCGTTGTAAATAATCAATCTGCTGATCAATCAGATTTTGTATATCCTTCCTCTCTTGGACGGGGTCTTCTTCTTTCTCTATCTCGTCGAGATAATGGGTGAGCTCATCTCTCAATTTTCGCAAGCGGTATCGTGTCCATTCAGGATAGAGAGACTTTGTATCCGCATAAGGGCGAATGTTGGTAATATAGCTGGAGTCGTAGACGTTTGGCATTGTAGAACGGTACGAAGTGATGGTCGATATCCGCTCCTTCACACCTTTTGCCCGGGCAGCCAGATGACAGACTTCGCCACCTTGAAGCATGACAGCATGACCGATTTGGGGACCCTCAACCTTTACAGGGTTTGGTTAGTGAGGATATTTCAGTTTCAATCGGACGAATTTCTACACACCTTCTGTGCCTCCCCGTCTCCCTTTTTGATATATGTCTCGCCTCCAATCATACCCTCAGTATCGCTCAGCATCAATACGCAAACGTAAGGATACGAGTCATAGCTTTGGTCCAGTTAGTATTGTCAGTGCTATAAGCAAGGTGGCTAGGGGATGAACCTACTGCCACGGAATGATAGAACTAGCATCTTTCAAAGGGTCATAAGCTCGGTCTTCTGGACTCAACTCAATTTTTTCTAACGCGGGCTCAGGCTTGAGATTACTGGCCATTTCTGCGATGGTAGTGCCTTCAACTTGAATATTGGTGTGCCCTATTTCCGTTGGCATCACCACCTCCAGAGGTACACCGACTGCTTCAGAGACAATCCTCATTGTCTCGGGGTGTGTCCAAAAATCTTTGACAAACTTTGACTGTTTCGCCGCATCACGGAGGACCAAAGTTCCTGGGAATGGCGAGCTGGCACACTTGTCTATAACATCCTTTTGGAACAGGGCCCTTCGGTAGGCTCTGACACCTTCGGCTGACAACAATGGAAATGGCACTGTTCCTGCAATGGGTGATGCGGTTGCACTCTGATTTAGACGGAGGTCTTCCATTGTAAATTTCTTTGAAGGTGGGGTGTAGTTCAGGTGCACCTGTTGGATGTGTTCTTAGAGGTGAAGTTTTGGATAAAGCTCGAAATTGTCTAGATTAACATACTTTTGGATCAAATACATCTTCCTTGATAGGGATTGGGGAAGACTCCCAGATATATTGCTTCAGCACGCTGAAAGGATTCATCATGGGCATAATATGTTGACTAGGTATGTAGCCAGTACTTGAACGAGGTAATCGCCGTTGACTTTCAAATTTAAAAACAATAGTTATGATCTAGGAGCTAAAAAAGACACAATTGCAGCTTAAACACCTCCTTTAATAGTCGGTGTAGCCAAAGCTATAGTTACTCGGCTTGGACTGACTCACCTGGATAGTGCGCTACACCAGATAAGCCATTCCTATACAGGAAGGTCTGTCCGGGGCATATCACCGGGATCCATTAGTGTTATCGGATCGCATATCCGCGTTTGAATGCTTTCTGCTCTTATTAAAGCGTGAGCTGGCACTCGAGATTGCCCTCGTGAGTAGTTAGTTTACTATTATTCCATACCCCTGCAGGACAAGACAAGAGATAGATCGACGGTTCTTTGTATCTTTCGAAATGAAACTCAAAAAGCTTATCGCAGTCTTGATTTCGCATTATCTTACCAAATTTGACTCTGGATAAGTTGGAAGCCTGAGACTCGTCAGTTGGACATCTGAGATGTGAGTCCACTAAACCATAACATAAAATCTCTATTTGTGGGATTGTCAATACCTCCAAGTTTCACAAGATTGAAGCATGATGTTGAGACTGCAAAGTAAGAGAGAGAAGATGGAGGTATGGTTTTACTCATAGACGTCTTTTCTAATATATCTAGCATAGAAAGCTATATAGTTGCTTTTAGTCAAAGGAATTGTGCGTCTTAAGTAATCCACCCCAGAATCCAAAACCCTCGATTTCCCCATGGAGGTTTCAACAATAAAGTATTCCCCGTAACCACTCTTTTTCTTGGTAAGCAGGTACCATTTGTTTTACCCACTTGACCAGCCATGGAGAATTTTGGCAGACATCAACTGGGAGACCTCGTGACCTTCCATTTCTCAAAGCGGCTGATTATGTCACCCCCTCGGCTTTCCCCGCAATCTCGCTTTGCGTCGGCTTAACAAGAGCTTCTCCAAACCCTTGAGCATTTCCCATTCTCTACTTTATCCCTTCGAAATACCCTGATTATGTTTATACTGTGATCCAAATCACTTTTTGTAAAGACCCAATTACAGCTGGAAAGGCTGTTCTCCCACCGTCATGACCCTCTCATCCCTTCTCCGCATTACTCCCCGCTTAACCCCGACCACGGCCCGCAGAACATCGCGAGCTATATCATCGGCCACTAACACATCAAATACACCCAAATCGTTGGACTCGATTCTTATAGCCAATCGAGGAGAAATCGCTTTGTATGTTAAACACTTAATTAAGTGAAATTGGTGGTGCTAACTTCGACATGCTAGACGAGTTGGACGCACTGCTGCAGAGCGTGGGATCCGCGTAACAACACTCTACACTGACCCGGATAGCCGAGCTCAACATGCCTTGAGCTCCCCCTTCGCCTTCAATTTGGGGTCTGTGTCGGCGTACCTCGATGGCGATAAAATCATTGAGATTGCAAAGAAAGAAGGGTGTCAAGCAATACACCCTGGTTACGGCTTTGTAAGTTGGTTGTGCATAGTTGAATCCTAGATAGGATACTAACTCGGGGCCGATACGCAGTTGAGTGAGAACTCTGCATTTGCGCAAAAATGTACCGAGGCCGGGCTGGTCTTCATTGGCCCGCCGTATAAGGCTATTGAGGATATGGGTGATAAGAGGTACGTTCGTTACGCTATTTGAGTGTCCACTATACTTACCAGATGTGCCCTATTAGTCGCTCTAAAGAGATTATGACAGCTGCCGGTGTGCCATGCGTCCCAGGCTACCACGGACATAACCAAGACCCAGCCTTCCTCGAGGAGCAGGCGGACCAGATAACATACCCGGTGCTTATCAAAGCCGTCAAAGGAGGTGGTGGAAAGGGCATGCGTATTGCCAGTTCCAAGGCGGTGTTTCAAGCCCAGCTTGAGTCGGCTAAGTCAGAAGCCATGAGCTCATTTGGAGATGACAATGTGCTGGTCGAGAAGTATATCACTACACCGCGGCACATCGAAGTCCAGGTATTTGCAGACAAGCATGGTAACTCCGTTGCACTAGGAGAGCGAGACTGCAGTATTCAACGGAGACACCAGAAGGTTCTAGAGGAATCTCCGGCGCCTCATCTCCCTGATGCAACTAGAAAGGACCTTTGGGCAAAGGCACGGTCGGCTGCAGAGGCCGTCGGCTACGAAGGTGCCGGTACTGTGGAGTTCATCTTTGATAATGACTCTGGGGACTTCTACTTTATGGAGATGAACACACGACTCCAGGTCGAGCATCCTGTGACTGAAATGGTCACAGGACAGGATCTTGTCCACTGGCAGATTTTGGTGGCTGAAGGAGCTAAGCTGCCCCTTACGCAAGAGGAAGTGGAAGAGCGTATCGCCCAGAGTGGCCATGGAATTGAGGCGCGAATCTATGCTGAAAACCCAGAGCAAGGGTTTATCCCTGACTCAGGCCGTCTACTCCATGTGCGAACACCGGCTACTTCGGATGACATCCGCATTGACGCAGGCTTTGTGGAAGGAGACGAGGTATCAGCCCACTATGATCCCATGATCTCCAAGCTCATTGTGCGCGGTGCAGATCGTGAGGAGGCTCTCCGCAAGCTGGCTGCTGCCTTGGAAGAGTATGAAGTTGCAGGACCCGTGACTAACATAGAGTTCCTGAAAGCCATCTGCAAGAGCCCGGATTTCATCGCCGGTGAGGTCGAGACCGGCTACATTGAGAAGCACCGCGAAGAGCTCTTCCCCCCAAAGAAAATTGAGGAGGAGGTGCTGGCGCAGGTCGCATTGGCCTGTCTACATCGTGACATCGTCTCCGGGGCGCGATCCTCAGTAGGCGTTGCAGGTTCAACGGTCGGGTTCACTCCTAGTTACCAAGAGCGACAGTTGTCATTTACCGAGACTGGTGGCCCAGGGTCTACAAACGGCTCCACGTTTAGTGTGCGAGTGCAGCAGACAGCAGATGACACATTTAATGTGGAAGTCGGCGGCCGAGTCTTCGAGCAGGTGGTGAGCCACCTGGATCCAGCGTCGCACATTGTTACATCGTTTTTCGCGCACACCCGGTTAGATACAACAGTGATTCGAGACGAAGACACTATTATCGCATTCCAGCGTGGAACCCAGTACCGACTCACGGTGCCTCGGGCTAAGTGGATGGAAAAGGCATTGGGGCTGAAGGATGTGACAAACAGCGTCTTGGCCCCGATGCCGTGTAAAGTGCTGCGGGTGGAGGTGCAAGCAGGAGATGTGGTGGAAAAAGACCAGCCATTGGTTGTTATCGAGAGCATGAAGATGGAGACGGTGATTCGCAGTCCACAACAGGGCACCATTGCGCGGGTCGTGCATAAAAAAGGAGTAAGTCACGCGCCTTTCCCCCTGACTTTGATCTAGAATTCCCCGGACCCGCGTGATATCATTTTTGTTTCATTTGAATCTTTTGTTTTGATTTTTGCGCCCCTGGTTGTCTGCCTGGGCCGCTCTTTTATTTCCCTGCGGAACTCAAAGCTGGAGATCTTCAAGAATAACTGACTAACATATATTTTACAGGATCAATGCAAAAGCGGAACACCGCTGGTGGAATTCGCCGAGTCCGAATAGAGTGGGAATATTTTCCAAGGATGACACACAAATGTGGAGTTACAATATCAACATCGATCTCGTCTTACAATTATACACGATTAATGACTGCCGATCCGGTGAAAGGAAAGAACGTAGAGACAGTATCAGATTAAATGAATAGTAAAATAGTAAAATAGTAAAATTGTAAATATTAACTGCAAACTCACGATGGTCCACAAAACCGGGGTCAACGGGGGTAACGGGGTCAAGTCCCCACATAAACCCAGGTCCACTATTTACCCCAGACGTCTTTGATTTACTTCAGATGTTGGATTCGAGATAAACTTGATATTCGACTGTTCCCCCCTGTAACTGACCTTATATGAGACCTATTTATTCACCGACTTATCTCACATACGCAATACTACTCGGTGGCAAAATGTAAACTGCATGACACAAAAATGACCACACAGTCAGGTCAATCAGAGCTCTCCATTGGCCTGCAGCAAATGCGGCCGCGTTGTCCCTGGAGTGCAGAAAGTGACTAGTCCTTTTATCAAATGTAAATAAAGAGAGCAGATTATAGGCAAAAGTATAAGATACGTGTAGTTCTTCTAAGGCTAGAATCCAGCACTAAATATTGAGAGACAGATTCGAATGAGAAAGGATGATCTTAAGATACACATGTAGCACAAAGTATATTCCGTACTTCAATAAAATGATAAACAAAAGTACTCCATGCATAAATGATGCCGCGAAGCTGGTAACCGCCGATCTGACATCACGGTCTGGCCTTTTGTTTTGGATATTTTCAAGCTATATGATTTTAAATCAACAAATGAAAAAATCTCCTTCCATTCAATAGACCCACGTCTACTATCCATTGGCTTGTTTCGCCGCAATTGTTGCATTCTCCAGCCCTTGAGCCCTGAAAAAAAAGTCAGGTCCGATGACCTGCTTTGTTTCATACTCTCACCCCTCCCCCGGATAGATTCTTCCCTCTCCTCAATTCCCATTCCCTTGAACTTGATTTTCCCGCACATATATTGTACATCGCATCTCTCCCAACCTCATCCCACCACAGCTCCAGTGCATCTGAAGCTGTGACCTTCAAAATGTTCAAGCCAACAGTCGCACGCAATGCCATTAAGGCTCTGAACACCGCTCGCCCTGCCTTTGCAGCTAGTCACTCAAATACAGGCTTCACCCGTCCTCTCTCATACACTGCCTCACTCGGAAAGAAGAAGAGCAATGACCCCGCAAAGGACCCCGTCCTCTCTGCTACGACCAAAGCCCCCGAGGGTGCTTCTAGTGAGAAGGAGGGCCAGTTCGCTCGTACTGATGAGAGCGTACAAATTGAATATCCTCCCGACAGCGAGATGCCCACTCAGCCCGTAGCCCAGGGGCGCGGCGGCATGCATTTCAAGCGTACTCTGGCTCAGTTCTCACTTGAGAAGAAAGTTAGCGTGGTGACTGGTGGTGCTCGTGGCTTGGGTCTGGTCATGGGCCAAGGCCTTGTCGCATCCGGCTCAGATTTGGCTATCATTGATCTTAACAGTATGTTCTACAACACTTTTAAATAATCCGAGCAAATGATTGATCCTAACATCTACCCCAGAGGACGAAGCCGAGTCTGCAGCTGCCTCGTTGATTGAACAGTTCCGCAAGGAGAATCCAGGTCTGGACGAGTAAGTCTCCATTGCCATATCATTCCGGCTCACTCCGGACGCTAATTCCAAACAGCATGCCCAATGTCACCGCCCATTACGCGGATGTCGCCAACCCCGACTCCGTGAGCAACGCCATGGCCGAAGTCCTGGCCAAGCACGGTCAGATCGATAACCTGGTCACCTCGGCCGGCTTCACAGAGAACTTCGAGGCCATCAATTACCCCTTCGACCGTATGCAGAAGCTATGGGGTGTCAATGTTGACGGCACATACCTCTTCGCCATCAATGTTGCTAAGCACCTGATGGAGCGCAAGGCGCCCGGTAGCATCGTGATGATCGGCTCTATGTCCGGCGCCATTGTTAATGTCCCCCAGCCCCAGGCTCCGTACAACGCTGCGAAGGCTGCTGTGCGTCATCTTGCTGCTTCACTCGCTGTAGAGTGGGCTAGCCATGATATCCGTGTTAACTGCATTAGCCCTGGCTATATGCTTACTGCTTTGTGAGTACCCCAACGTGGACGACGAGATACATCTGAGTAGAGAAATCCTCGAAGGAATTTTTGCTAATGTTGTCTGTCATTCAGAACTCGCAAGATCCTCGACGAGAACCCCCAGCTTCGCGACCAATGGATATCTCTCATCCCCGCCGGCAAGATGGGTACACCAGAAGACCTAATGGGTGCCGTGACCTTCCTACTGAGTGATGCCTCCAAGTACGTCACTGGAGCGGATCTCCGCGTGGACGGTGGCTATACCGTAACCTAAGCCACGTTATCTGGAGCGCTATTCAATCTCTCTTTATGATTTCCCTGTTGCATGATACTAGCCTTTCTTTCAGACATATGAAAAATTACCCTTTGTTTTACCCCCGTTTCTAAACCTTATTCTAAAAATAATATTTTATTAGTTTAGATCATTTAGAATCAATTACTAGTTATCTCTCTATAATACGTTTAAAAATTCGAGAAAGCGCGTTATTTAGATAATTTATAAATTACAGAAGTTCACATAGAAAGTGGTAGTAATCCTATCTAGATCCTAGACATATATCTAGTGTTAAAATATACTTTCTCGTAGTATCTCGACCTCTTCTGATCGGATTTTGTTTAAGTTTGAAATGTATACTTATATAGCTATGACAATTATAAATTCTAAAAATTTAAACTCTATATAATAAGTAGAAGCTTAGAATACAGCGATTACAAGATGCTTAGTAACCCCCCTTAATAGGCTTTAATGGGGGCCTTATGGGCCCCCACGAATGGGCTGTGGGTTGGGTCGGGTTTCGAAGGTAGGGCCTATAGCCCAGTACGGGTTGGACTTTGGGCCTGAGGTCCGGGCCCATTTATGGGCTTTGCGGAAGTCTACTCCTAACACCCGATTACACAATTCATATTCTCTATTAACCAGTGCATTCTACGGGACTAGACTACTCATATTATAACACTGCTCTTTGAACGCTTCTCATAGAAAAGCATCTGGGTCTGGAAAGCTTACAGTCCAAGGACAAGGAAATTCTCGCATGTTCTGATTTCCTGTTTAAGCGCCATGAAGTCACCTGATGATGAAGCATAGTATCTGCCCCTCGTTCAGCTGAGAGTCAGAAGAAACCCTACGCCACAAGTCACCAACAACGAATGCCACACTAACTATGCCACCAACATCTTACTATGGGATCAATAATGGGACCCAAATAGGTAATAACCATGGCACAATCACGACAGAATTCCACGAGTCCAAGCGACCAAAGACCTCTCACCATAAAGGCTTGCCTGCCCCACGACACGATCAGTACACCATCGCTTGGATTTGCGCGCTGTACATAGAGATGGCAGCAGCTCAGGCAATGCTGGACGAGACTCACGAAACCCTGCCTGCCCATGCGCACGATAGGAACACCTACATACTAGGAAACATCAATCGACATAGCGTCGTCATTGCGTGTTTACCAGAAGGGCAGTATGGAACAAACAACGCAGCGATCGTCATGACAAACATGAAGCGGACGTTCACAGCGATTCGCGTATGTTTGATGGTTGGGATTGGCGGTGGTGTGCCAAGCAAGGCTGATATACGTTTGGGTGATATTGTCGTCGGAACAAGGGTTATGCAATGTGATCTTGGGAAAATTCTTAGAGACGGACAGCTTCAGCGAACGGCGATTCCTAGAATTCCTCATCAGTTGCTTGGAACGGCTGTGTCTACCCTCCGTTCAAAGCATGAACTAGGCCCTAGCCGAGTCCTATCTATCTTACAACAGAAACTAGAAGGACAATCTGCGTATTCTCGCCCGATTTCACCGGATCGTCTGTTCTATGCGACCTATAATCATACATCTCCAACTGATAGCTGTGATGGGTGCGACCATTCAAAGCTAGTCCCACGAAGCACACGGATGTTGGCCGAAGCAAGGATCCATTACGGCGCAATTGCCTCCGGGAACCAAGTCATGAGGGACGGCGTAACCCGGGACAACATTGCTCGACAGCTAGATGTCATATGTTTTGAGATGGAAACTGCTGGGCTGATGGACATCCTCCCATGTCTCCCAATCCGGGGAATCTGCGACTACTCAGACTCTCACAAAAGCAAAGAATGGCAGAGATATGCAGCAGCGACCGCGGCTGCATACGCAAGGGAATTGCTTGAGGAGTTACCTGTGACTGAATCGCATACAAGCATTGTCTCCACGACTGTTTCTTGTAAGAACGAATACCAGCCTTAGGACTCATATTGACTCACCATTGCTCACACCAGACGTATAGATCAATATTCATCGCACGAACACAGACAGCGCTTACTACATTCTTTCAAGTTCGAGCAAATGGATTCCCGAAAAACGACCATCAAACAAGAACAGAAAAAAACGTATCGCTGGTTGCTCAACCACCCCTGTTACGAAGCATAGCTTGATCCCGCAAGATTAACACAAAATCATGGCTTTTTGTGGATTAGTAGCAAGCCCGGTGCTGGAAAGTCGACAATCATAAAATTCGCATACTCCAGCATGAAGGGCAAGGCGCGTCACAAGCACGCTATCACTGCCTCCTTTTTCTTCAACGCTCGGGGTGACGGCTTAGAAAAATCGATCTCGGGGATATATCGATCATTACTGGTTCAACTACTTAAAGGGTATACCGACCTTCAGGTTGTTTTAGACGATTCCGATCTGCTTCCCCGAAGTCAAAATGATTGCCCTTGCTTAAATGTTCTGAAGCAGCTATTTGCCAATGCTGTTTGCTCCCTCGGTCAACGCTCATTTACCTATTTTATCGATGCTCTCGACGAGTGTAATAAACAACAAGTTGTGGACATGGTCCAGTACTTTGAAGATCTGGCCGAACAATCCACAGCAAAAGGGGTCCCATTCCGAACCTACTTTTCGAGTCGACACTATCCATACATCGTCATTCAACGGGGTATCCGACTTACACTAGAGGATCAATCCGGTCATGCAGAAGACTTGACCACCTACGTCACAAGCCGCCTAATAATCAAAGAACCCACGCTTATCGAAGAACTGCAACCACTAATCCTCAGTAAAGCTGCTGGTGTTTTCATGTGGGTTGTCTTAGTTGTTGATATTCTTAACAAGGAGTATCGACGGGGTAGAATGGCTCTAAGGATGAGACTCGCGGAAATACCCAGTGATCTGAGCGAACTGTTCAAAGATATCTTAAGACGTGACAATAAAAATACAGAGGCCCTCCTGCTTTGTATCCTCTGGATTCTTTACGCAAAAGATCCTTTGCGACCGCAGGAGTTCTATCATACCCTCTGGTCTGGTTTGTCTCTGAAGGGTTTAGTCGATGACCGAATTCCAGATGTCACCGTCCTAGGTACTGGTACTGGCGTTAACAGATTTAGCACATATATCATTAGCTCCTCAAAAGGACTTGCCGAGACCACAAAATCTAGCCAACCTAGAGTTCAGTTCATCCATAAGTCTGTCCGAGACTTCCTTATCAAGGACAAAGGTCTGTATAAATTGTGGCCTGAGCTTGGATTTGACTGTGAGAGCCTAGGCCATAAGAAACTCAAACAATGTTGCAGCCTCTACATGAATAATACCTTGATCTGTACATCTGTTAGCAGGCTGCCGTTAGAGTCTAACTCCAAGTGCCGGAAGGAAATCTCAAACGAGTACCCGTTCTTACAGTATGTCAGTCAGAATATCCTCTACCATACCAACGCTGCGGCGAAAGCTATTCCCCAAGAGGCATTTCTGTCTTCGTTTCCTATCCCTAACTAGACCAATATCAACAACGTTTTTGAAAAGTTTGACAGTCGGAAATATACGCTAAGTACAAGTTTGATTTATATTCTAGCAGATAAAGGATTCCCGGAGCTCATCCGGGCAAGGCTCAAAGAGGATTCCCAAATTCACATCTTTAGGGAGAGATATAAGTACCCCTTGTTTGCCGCTTTGGCTAATAGCAACAAAGACGCTATTACTGCTCTTTTGAACTCATCCTCAAGTATTTACAACGGAGTCGACATTACAGAGGGCCTCAACCATAGGAAAGACTTAAAAGAATACGAAAGTCGAACACCACTATCTTAGGCTGCACAAGGTGGCCGAACAGGCATTGTCAAGCTACTTTTGCAGACGAGACTAAGCGATAATAACATAGATAGGGGGGGGCGAACACCACTTTCACGGGCCTCAGAAAATGGCTTTAAGAAAGTCGTGATTCTTTTAATCAACAAGGGAGCCGACGTCAACACCAGCGACAGCGATAGATAGACACCGCTTCAGTGGGCCTCATTAAATAGTCACGAGGCGGTAGCGAGGCTTCTGATCGATAAGGGAGCCGATATCAATACTAGCAATAAAGGTAGATAGATACCGCTTCAGCAGGCCTTATCGAATAGTTATAAGGTAGTAGCAAGGCTTCTAATCGATAACGGAGCCGATATCAATACCAGCAATAAAGGTAGATAGATACCGCTTTAGCGGGCCTCATCGAATGGTTATAAGGTAATAGCGAGGCTTCTAATCGATAAGGGAGCCGACATTAACACTAGTAATAAAGATGGATAGATACCGCTTTAGTAGGCCTTATCGAATGGTCACAAGGCGGTAGCGAGGCTTCTAATCGATAAGGGAGCCGACGTTAACACTAGCAATAAAGGTAGATAGACACCGCTTCAGCAGGCCTCATCGAATGGTCACGAGGTAGTAGCGAGGCTTCTAATCGATAACGGAGCCGACATCAACACCAGTAATAAAGGTAGATAGACACCGCTTTAGCGGGCCTCATCGAATGGTCACAAGGCGGTAGCGAGGCTTCTAATCGATAAGGGAGCCGACGTCAACACCAGCAATAAAGGTGGATGGACACCGCTTCAGCAGGCCTTATCGAATAGTCACGAGGTGGTAGCGAGGCTTCTAATCGATAACGGAGCCGACATCAATACCAGCAATAAAGGTGGATGGACACCGCTTCAGCGGGCCTCATCGAATGGTCACGAGGCGGTAGCGAGGCTTCTGATCGATAAAGGAGCCAACATCAACACTAGCAATAAAGATAGATAGACGCCGCTTCAGCGGGCGTTAATAAATGGCCACGAGGTAGTAGTAAGGTTTCTGATCGATAAGGAAGCCGATATCAACGTTAGCGATAGCGTTAGATAGACGCCGCTTCAATATGCCTCAATAAATGGCCACAAGGCGGTAGTAAGGCTTCTTATCAACAAAGGGGCCCACGTCAATACCAGGGACAAACATGGATGGACACCGCTTCAGCGGGCCTTATCGAATGGTCACAAGGCGGTAGCGAGGCTTCTGATCGATAAAGGAGCCGACGTCAACACTAGCAATAAAGATAGATAGACGCCGCTTCAGCGGGCGTTAATGAATGGCCACGAGGTAGTAGTAAGGTTTCTGATCGATAAGGGAGCCGATATCAACGTTAGCGACAGCGTTGGATAGACGCCGCTTTAATATGCCTCAATGAATGGCCACGAGGCGGTGGTAAGGCTTCTTATCAACAAAGGGGCCCACGTCAACACCAGGGACAAACATGGATGGACACCGCTTCAGTGGGCCTCACTTTTTGACCACAAGACGGTAGCGGGGCTTCTCATTGACAATGGAGCTCAAGAAGAGCGGCAAACTAGTAAGTTAAGCAGACTTCCGACCTCCACTTTCTACATCCTGTTCTCTCAGCCTGCTGGCCCGGCCGCTGAACTTCTCTACTCCTTTTATCATAAGGCATATACGTAACAGTTGGATCTTATTGTCTGACACTTTACAGCTGTTGAAATTGAGGACAAAGGAAACTTCCAAGTTTGATTGGGTAAATTTGTTCAATCATAACAACCGGATTTCTTTTTCCTGATAAGACGTACATTACCTCTTGAGGCACGGTTCAAGTCGACCGAAATGGCATTCATCATCCGCCATTCCTACAAAGGGACACTTACAGCATTATATCTAGTGGTAGAACATTGCTGGGATGGGAAGCGGAGGGCCAAAATATGAATCCCTAGATAGGCTAGATACTTGAATAACACACACGTGTTACATAGCAGTTCCTGCTTCACGTGTTTGATTGCCTCCCAAAACGATCTTTTGGCACATTCTAACTCAATGTGCGTTGCGAGGTTTGCGTGACCTCGCGGCGGCTCGGGAGAGTCGGGACGCTGTGCTATCGCGGGTAGCAGGCTTCCGAAAGGATTTATTGCGGGAGTATGCATTGGCCGCACACACGGCGGAAAGCTGCCACCTTGATAGTACAGGCCCCGAGATGGGGGATCCTGGGGAGCTGCACCTAGATGTGTGGATCCCTCGTTTTCTCCCATGGCCTCAGAAAAGGACCTCTTGCGTCTTTGAAGGGTGACCTCATCTACGGAAATAAAGCTGCCATGATCCGACGGAGCTCTCTCAACGAGAAGCGGCGCACGGATTCAGAATCACAGAAGAAATGTTGATAAATGTTCCCTCGCGGGGTCGGTCACAGCAATATATCCAGAGTTCAAAGGACTCAATTGACTCAACTCAACTCAACTACGAGATACTAGGCTGGGTACTCTCGTTGTATAGACCTTAAACAAGCAAGACCGGCCCAAAAAGTCCCTCGTATCCATCCCACTCTTTTAGAGATCTCTTATATCGGACTGTAAGACCTCCTTCGGAGTGGCGACGACACCATTACCGGGGTGGCAAAGGGAGCTTTTTCGTGAGGTTTTACTTGTGTTCATATCTAAGGCACCAACCACAGCAACAAGGAGATTAAGCACACTTCATTACCTTGCACCTAGCTGATTGCTGTTAGTATCGGTAGGCGGACCAACCTGACACTATAGAAGAAGACCTAGCTACCAACGGAGGGCTAGATGGTTTAAATGTAAGATGAGTAGACTCCTTTAGTGACGCTGTGAGTAAAAGGGTCAATCAGCCAAATAAGACTGGATTATTCGCGAAAATCCATCTATAGGATCTTTAAATTGGCAGATTATAGGCTTCAACAATATCCATTGATTTCGGCTAGAATACGGATTAGCTGAGGCTGAGTAAACTGCCCAGGTGTTTCGATTGATATTTACTCGGCTAGCGGCACCATGTGCAAAGCTTGCAAACTGTGTAAACATACCAAATAGCGGGGCGGTTTTTGAGAATTCCGGGTTATAATGTCCGTTTTTGGTATAGCCGCTTATGCATACCATGCAAAACATATAAACATACAAACACACAAACATACAAAACCAGAGCCAAGCCCAGGAACTCCGAGTTGCCGCACGCTTATTGGCTAAACTCCCTTCCATGCAAACATCATAAACCTCAAAATCTAGTTTCCCGATGTATGTATCATACTTTCGAACATGTAGTTTAAGATATAAATTTGCCTCGATTTCCAGAAATATTCCAAGACCCAACAGGTAACTTTACTTCAAACTCAAACTTATTGCAAGCAAAGGTAAATTTCTGCCGCCCTAATGCTTAATGCCTGCTTAACCCCCGGCCCCCCAAGCGGTGCCTTCGAAGGAGTCTAAATTTCAATCCACAACATTTGGATTCAGACCGAACCAATTGTGGTGGCTAAAGTCGCCGGGGGGTATTATTGATCGAATTTAATTTCGTGTTTACTAATTCTTCGTCCCCGAAGTTTGGCCAAGACTAGAGATTTCCACTTTTCCACTTGATCAGATCGGAATCACTACATGTGAGTCGAAGTTGGAGTCATTGTTCTGTAAAAAAATTCTAACGTATCCCCAAGCAACAAAATGGCTCGCACCCTACTACAAAGGATGGAACGATTCGTTGAGTTCATCAATTCAGGCGATGAAACAATAGGACAAGAGGTGGTTTCCGAGTCAGCCGTGTTCCACGTTCCATTTTCAGATACCCCGCTGCAAGGATTGCCTGGATACATGCAAATTCTCGGCATGATGCGCTCGGCCTTTCCAGATATCCAGTGGACACTCGACGATACAGTCATCGAGGACAATAGAGTTGTAGCGCAGTTTACTCTGCGTGGAACTCAAGAAGGCGAATTCTTTGGTGCTCCGGCTTCTGGAAAGAAAATCCAGGCACGAGCTATGAATATCTATCGATTCACAGATGGAATGATTGTGGAGGAGACTGGGTTGCCTGATTTGTTTGGGATAATGCTCCAAATTGGGGCCGTGAGCCCACCGGTTGCTCATTAGGCAATCGACACGGTGCTTCGAGGATATCACTCTGTGACACAACATTTTATATACTAAGTGTGTACTAGTAAGCTAAATACAGATTGCGTAGGGCGATACGACTAGCTGTAACAGCAAATGCCTGAGCTCACGTGCTATTCCAATAACCTAAAAAGACCACAATATCGAAGCTCTCGAAGCTCTCGGCCCGAAAAGTCCCCCGTATTCATCCCACTCTTTTAGAGATCTCTTATATAGGACCTTCGGAGTGGCGACGACACCATTACCGGGGTAGCAGAGAGAGCTTTTTCGTGAGGTTTTACTTGTGTTCATACCCAAGGCACCAACCACAGGAACAAGGAGAGTAAGCACACTTCATGAGCTTGCCCCGAGCTGATTGCTGTTAGTATTGGTAGGCGGTCGCCTCTCGACTCATTGTTTGAAAACTCACCTACTCGATTCTTGCCCGATGGCTAGGACAGACGGTGTATGTTGTTGTCTTTGTTGGGGTTATCAGTATGGTTTTGTCGCACTCCTCCCACCACTCTTTCGCGAAAGGTGCTCCACAAGTTGTGTAGGTTCGAATACCGACATAATTTCGCGCTCCTGTGACGTTGTAAAGCTTTTCGGTACAGTTGGCCCAGGAAGTAACGTGCGTTATCACGTTGCCAGTGCATTCGCCAGAGTTACACATGTCGACTACAGGTCGCGCAGCGAATGGCGTTGGTAAATATACGACTGAGACTTTTGTCCTGGATGAAATATTTAGACGCTATTCAAAGGGTCGTGGGATGGGAAAACACTTACTTCGGAGTGATAGTAAGGGTGATCTGGACCAAGTTGAGCACTGCTCTCAAAGCCCTTTATAGCGTGTGCAGACGAGGCTTGTGCATCTGATAGCCTTGGGCCCCTCCGCACTGGCAAAAGACTAATGGACTGAAATCCAATTGAACACCGCCACGTCGCCGCAGCCAGTAGATAGGGCGAACCCCACTCGCCCATCATACAATTTCTAATATTAAAAGTATGCCTTGCGGCTGAAAATATAATCATTAATGTGGGGGAAAAATACAGCGTATTTTACCACTCGACAACATACAAAACCCAATGTACTTGTATAGTGCCTAGAGGCCCCATATCTAGTCTGACAATTAATTCTAGAAGCTGCTAACAAGATTGTTATCCCAATTCGGGATCGATTGATATGCGCGAATCACTCAATACGGCATCGACCGAGGCTAGGGGCGTGTGCGGTATCTTGGCTATTGGTTCATATCACTGGGCTGTGCTGTCAAATATTCATCGAGTGGGTGGAGAGGAACTGGAGAGACCGACGATAACGACAACAACGGGCGCCACGCTAATCGTGACTAGGCAACCGGGTGCTATTCTGTGGCACCAGGGCTGTGCAACACAACCTCAGCTGGGGCGGACAGAGTCGAACATGCGGCGTTGAGGCTATACCGGTACTTGGCAGATTAGATATTGTGAAGGATGGCAATCTTTGCCATTTGAGGTGCATTGGCATATTCGTGACCTCGTGTTGCCTTAATTCCCGCCTAGCTACTATACACCTCTTCTAAAAGATCCATGGCACTCGACCAGTCGCAATGTATTGCTAGGGTCTTGGCCAAAGCTAAACGTGCTGCGTTGGACAAATTTGTTAACTTGAAATGTTGCCAGCAAGCGATGTGCTTAAATAGGCCCTTAACCCACCAGATAGGTCTCCCAAATAGGTGCTCCTTCCTCTTCCAATATCAAACCCACTCCAGTTTTAACTATTCTTCAAGAGTCAAAGCTAAGGCTTGATTACCACGATGTCGCAATGCTTTAGTGACGCGAATGGCCAGTGGTGGATTACAGAGTCCGTATGGCTGACATCCGCCGCCGACATCCTCGCTGCTTCTGCAGCAATTCGATCGGGAGAGCCGGGGCCGTACGGGTGCCAAAATCAAAACGGCGTGCTGTCTTATTTTAAAAACCAGACACGACGAGCAACCGATAGCGATGTCACTCAAGCCCTCAGTACGAGGAATCGGGAACAACGAATTCAAATGCTCTTTGGAAGCGAGCAGTCAAACACCACTTTCGATGATATTCTGTCTAGATGAAGCCGCTAGTTTACTATGCGATCGACGAAGAAGGCTATCTGTTTATTAGCGCTACTCCCAGGCTATCAGTTGCAGAAATTCAAGAGATTTGAGGGAGTATCCATCTTCACTGCAACACTTGAAGATGGCTTTGATTCACTGATACACATGGATTTTAACTTGGCATTGCCCTCCAATTAAGAACATGAGCCGATCATTATTTGAATCTATGTTTTTCGCTTTTGAACCAGTCCATGTTAGGAGAAGATCTGATATAGCTGTTGACTTCTTTACGCCTTATTCAAAGTGTGTTTGCAATTTTATATATGCTAGCTCAAATTCGATTACAATTTCAAAAATGATACATCATCAGTAAGGATTGAAAAAAGGGGCGCAGATTCATTTGTGTTTGTTCTTTTGACTTTTAGTAACCCATTAGTCTCGGTTTATATCGACCAATGAATATTGTTGCTAGCTTGAGTTTATGGCCACTTTCAGAATTGTTCAGTTGAGTCGTTAACCATAACGAAAGATTGAAAAATAGTATCAAATCGACTTCTGGTGATACCTTGTGTCCCGAAATTACTACCTACACTTTACATATGGACATCGGTCTCCACCCCATCCTATTGCACCTTGGAAAATACATGCTTATATTTCAACAAAGCCTCTCGGAACGAAACGGGCTTCCGTCCTGTGAGTAGTTCAACAGCGTTGCTAGTCGTGGCCATATAGCCGCGCGCGACCATCTCACCACAGCACAAAAGATCATCCACACAGAGTTTTATGGGAAGCGACGATGGCTCTGTAACGGAAACTGGAAGTCCACGCCTAACCCACCATTCCCTTAATTCACCGTCCGGCATATCGACAAGCTGTCCCTTCACCCCGAAGCTGATGCAGATCCAGTCGAATACCTCCTTGTCTGTCACAGCCTGGGGGCCCGTCACATTATACACAGTGTTAGGCTCACCACGGCCCAAGAGGAGAGCAGCAAGTACTCTACCACAATATTCACGAGAAACATAGGCACCATGGCCACCGTGTGAGTTGAAAAGCCACCGGGCCTCAGGAGTGACACTAGATTCTTGGGCATCGTGTGGGTTGCAAAGCAACTGGTCTCCGCAGAAGTTCCAGGAGGGAGCGAAATAGTTGGGAATATTGTCTATGTAGAGATAATCACGCTGGATGTTGTAATCCAGCCCAGAAGCAATGATGAGAGCCTCAGTTTGTTTATGGTCTCGAGAAAGGAAGGGTAAGTCATCCACAGGAGCGGGGTCGTCGGCGCCCACAAAGGAAGTATAGCAGATTCGCCGCACGCCGCATGATTTGGCAGCGTTTATCACATTCCGGGCTTGCTCATGTCGACGTCCAAAGGCCCAGGTCGATATTAGATTCACCGCATCTGCGCCAGCAAAAACTTGCTCGAGGCTGTTCACGTCGTCGTAACTGGCTTCGGCTACCTGAACTCCTTTGGCTTCCCATGATTCAATGGTATGGCCGGGGAGCTTTTTAAGATTCGAAATAGTGAACACCAAAGTACTGTCTGGGGGGGCAATTTCCAGTGCATATGATGCTGCAACGCTACCGATGTTCCCACCGACACCGGTCAGGACGTACTTGGGCATGTTGGTTATAGTTTCAATTACTGAGATACTTTCAGGTCTCATAGAGCAGAAGACACTTGAAGCAAATTCGACCTAATAGTAAATGCTCAGAAGGTAGCTAGCTAGTTAGTTATAGGGGAATGAGAACTTTTAGACTGGTGACGTTAGAGTGCCGATAATTGAAGCCGAAGGCTAGTTTTCCCTCGGCTGGGGAAGATCATCAGCTAAAAACTTCCAATCTGGATGACTGCCGAAGAAGTCCATCAGAAGACGGCCACTATTCCTAATCGGATGATGAGGGCAGGTCCACTAGCTCAGGTGACACTTGGTAAGGCCCGGGGCCCCGGGAGTCATTTGGCTTACATAATTATAAGGTGCCGCGAGGGTGGCTCCAACTATCGTTATCGCCCAACTAAAGACACCGAGGACTTGTTTAGCCACTGTGCCAGCTCTACGGCGTTTAAGACTGACCCAACTATCTTGCCCAGTCAATTCTACGCTCTGTACCTCAGTGACCATAACCGACTATGCACTTCTGAATGAGGCTCTTGGTAATGTTGATGCCTGACAATTTTGGCGTCAGTATGGGGGCCAGGGATCCCCCACTAAGTTGCCGTCTCCTGAGTCCTGACAAGATACGGTAACCCATCTTTCGAGATGTTTTCCCACCTCTTGATGAGGATCTTTTCTTTCCCTTGCAAATATCGCTAAAGCATCGCTTTCTTTGCTTACGGGCCATGTCCCACCCAGTTGGGCTTACAACATAGTCTTTCAACGCGTTCAACACTTGCGCAACTGGGATAGCCTGGCTAGGGCATCAACCAGATCTACAGCAGTCGACCATGGATAAGCTTCCACCGGAAATTCTTCCGCTGATTTTTGCGGAAGTCTGTTTGCCTAGTTACTTAACTCCCGGCTCTGCTGACAATCATTCTAGATTTGGGATCTGTACCCTGAAAGTCTACGAGGCTTGAATACAGTCAATAGAATATTCTACGACACGGCTGCGCATTTTCTATATGAAACTCTTACTGTTCGGTTTCAAAGTAATCAGGAGTATGAGCAAGCCGTTGCGAATGTGTTGACTCTCCCAACCAATGCCAACTGGTACAAGCACACCCGGCGGCTTGACATTGTCTGTGGGCCAAGAGGGTTGCAGCTGAGCTCCAACCGCAAGAAAGCGATGGGTGAAATTCCCATTCCAGAAGATTATCTCAATTTCGGCCTGGTGACAAAAGCCCTGCCGGAGTGTGATGACTTTGCTATTCCGAAGTGGGAACTGCTAGTCTCATTGCTTGCCAAGATACAGCATCTAGTGGAACTTAACTACGCGGTTGCGAATATGTTTCCACAAGCCTTACTGGAAACCTTGCATCAGCACCATCCAGCATGCAAACTCAACATTCACGACTTTCAACTCTCATATCTCTTCTCGAAGAAGTCCGATGATGCTTGCGAGATGGATCTTATCCAGTCCCCGTGTCTCCATGGAATTCGTTTTACCCACTGGCGCGAAAGCGGGTATACCAGACAGGAGGAGTTAGCTGCCGAAAAAATCTACAAGATTATGTCTATCGCTCCTAATCTCAAACATTTCTATGTTGACATTCAGCCGCCGGACCCGTTGGACTATCGTCTTTCCAAGGCCATTGCCAAAGGACAAGGGCTTGATTCATCAACTATGCCTTTCAAGATGGGCGAACTGCAGTCACTATCATTACGATTCAGGTTGTCAAAAGAGAAGGTCCTTCAAGAAGCGAGTCGACATACAGACTTTTCTAAACTACAGTCACTTGATCTGGATTTTGTTACAGACGATGAAATTCCAAGGGCAATTGCCTCGACATATTCTTTCCGTAACTTGCGGAACCTATCTATCTTCATTGTCATCTCATTGAGTAAAGAAGCAACGCAGCTGATGTTTGACTCAATCAATCCATTGACTTATTTGGAGATCAAAAGTTATTTGAATTCCAGTCCCATTGAGAAGATTCTTATGCGTCACGGTCCGACGTTGCAAGGGTTGGTGCTTCTTCTCGCACCCGGCCGTAATCGCCCGGGGACTCCGATGCCAAACGGGGGTTTCGCGGAACAGGTGTTGAGATACGCTGAGCTCTGTCCCCGTTTACGGAACTTGCACATTGAAACCCACCGCACAGTCGGAAATGAAGATGAAATACGGCTTTATGAAGCTTATGGACAATTCCCTTCCCTGGAATCCCTCATCCTGGATATGGAATGCACTGTCTTCCCCGATCCATCAAATGATTCAAGGCTTGTTGAGACGCCCGAGGTGGTTAAAACAGCATTCAACCTAATACTTGATCCAGCTCTATGCCTTGCAATATGGGATAGAATTGCATCAACCCAGAAATCCGGCCGGCTACGAAAATTAGAGCTTTATCCCCACTCTCGCCGCAGCCTAGATAGGGGCGCTATTTCCAATTCGCTCAGTATTGTGACTAGTCTGAAACGAGCATATCTTGTGCGACGAAGGATCTTTGACAAACAAGAGCTCCCTATTATCGTTGAAATCAACGTGACAGGTTGTTTGCCGAAGGGCCCTCTTAGGCGTCCTGGGTGGTTCGAGGCAGTGCCCCAACTTGACTACGCATTTGGACGCGATAAGCATCAATTCTATAAAACTTGGCGGTCTAAATGGTTGATGCTTCCGCTGCAAAGACTTGCTGTTGATCTTTTGGCCAACAGGCGTAAGAGGACCCGTGAGGGTGGGGATGGTGGGCGTGAGATGAAGCTAGCTCGTACCACTGCGCAGTGATGTGAATAATGTACATAGTGTATGGTGCAATGTTTGAAGGGATATCTGAAATAGCTTTCCGAAACACGGCGTACATTTTTATCCCACCGGATATACTCATCTCACTCACCTGGAACACGTTGTACCCTCCTCTTGCCAGTTAGAGCCCCATTCCTCTCTACTATCACTCCCGAATTACTATACGCTTCAATCGTGGGAAGTTAGCTTATGTTACTACTAGTGGAGGTAACGAGGGGGTGTTTCTCATGGTGGACAGGCTTTTGCTTTTCAGCTATTGCGAGTAATTTAGTATACCCATGTATGGATAGAAGCTATAGCTACTGGAACTGTCTAGGGCTTATAAATTGGAAGTTAAAAATGACCAATTTGGAGATCCAACCTCCGGAGAACTGTAACAACTGTGGATGCCAAATTTAAATAGAATGATGGTCTTCCGCTTTTGGCAGTTTCTCTACTAGACTACTTCAAACCTATGCGGGACGTAGTACTCTTCTCGAGATTCAGTACTTCTATATCTATAGGGTACAATGATAAGATTTCCAAGAATACTTTTTTTACTAAGGATCTTCTAGATCGTTTGCAGTGGATTTACAGTGGAGAAACGTGGAGAAAGTACGCCAGACCCAATCACAACTTTCCCCGGGTTTTCTCCGCATACCGCATACCTGAGGGATGCTTCCCAATTGGATGTACCGAATCAAGGGGCATGTGGATGTGCATGTCACCTCGGCAAAGCTCCTTGATTTGCTCTGAAGGGTCTTCCCCAGGTGGTATTGGGGATGTGCTGTGTCATATTTAGAAAGTCGGCCGCTGATAGGGCTGTCTCTGCTACACCCCTGCTTGCAAAAAGACGCGCAATTTGGAATGTAACGACGACGAGGTGGTTTTGGACCTATCCACTTATGTTTCCTTGGCTATACATAGAAAAAACTCTTGCACAAAGTATGTTTTTCTTCTCCCATCTTCATATACACCACACCTCAAAAGACATCTAAAAATACATCTTAAACCACTAATTAAAAAGACCAGCTAAAAACACATACAAGGCCGCATAAGTGGTCAGATATTCTTGTTGGTCTTATGCAGTACTTTCTTATTTACAGTGGTTGAGTAGTAGTTCTTTCTCCTACATAATATAGAGACTTCACGTCTATAAGAGTATAGGAACGGTGAAGCCTAATACCGGCCCGTCCTGGTGATCCTGGAGAGCAAGACGAAGTTCGAGAAATTAGAAGATTTTTAGGACTAAGGAGAGATCTAAGATAGATCTACGGAGAAGAAGAGGGGAGATTTGGAAGATCTATTTGGTCCGGTTTTGAATCTAAGGGGGTCGGTCCCCCCACCTTGACCGCTACAGGCAAGGGCGAACCCTGGGGTACTACATTCCTCAAATTCTTTGTCTTTCTAAAACTTCTCTACTTTTTTCTTTTTCGATTCCTTTGTGGAGTGTGGAGTGCATGAAGCATTTACAGTCATGATCTTCGTGCCTAACCCTCAGTTGAGCATGTTTGAAAGCTCTAACTGATGTGGTACACCAGCTTCAAGTTCAAACCTTGAATATCTTGGAGCTTCAAAGTCTCGACTTGCCACTTCAAAGTAGTACCGGGAAGAATAACCCGAGAACAATCCTCTGTTCGAAGCTCACTCCTCGAGCTCTTTTTCTTTTCCTCTTTTTTTGCTAGCGTTCTGTTTGTGCTAAATACAAAGGATGAAATCGAGCCTTGACTTTACATCAGCACGACTGGTCCACGCGCCGCTCAGCAGTATCACTTGAATTCGACCCCTCATCAGTCTTGCCGATTCTCACGTCATTCATCTTATATCTCACCGTCTCAACATCCCGGTATCATCCCAAGCTCGACTACCCAACAAAATTTCAAGATGGAGCCAAAGCTCCCCCAAGGCCTTGTGGCTATGTCTAGTGTGTCACCTGGCGAGATCCTGGAGCAGGATACATTAAGTAATGGTATCTACAAGAACCTTTGGCAAGGTAACGTAACACTTCCCACTCCTAGTTTCGTGGTGGAGAGGCTGACTGACAACAAACAGCCTACTCGACCTCGTACCTTGCCAGCAAAGATGAGACTGAACATCGCCTAGAGCATCTCTTCTGGAGGATATGGGGCGCTAAAGGGCTCTCAAATCGCATAAACACCCGTACCCTAGATCGTCTTATCCTACGCATCAAGGCACCGGCAGTATTAGTCGGACAAAGGGTGACCGTCTCACCGTTGCCTGGGACTGGTGACAAAGAAGAAAAGGTAAACACAATTTTGTTCCACATCGCACTATATCAACCTCATGTTGACGATTCATGCAAGCCCATCAATAAAAACCAGTCAGGCTGCGCTGCTGGAGCCTGTTCTCTCCACCCAATATTGAAAAAGCCGCAGCCTTCACCAGTTGAAACACATAAAGCAACTCGGTTGCTCCTTGACACTCCCCTCGGCACAAAAATAACACTTGACCCCTCCAACTCTCCTACCGCAAGCATGGCTGATGAGCTCGCGCCCATTCCAGATCAAGTGGGCCATCAGCGTCGCAAGAATACCCAGATGGATGCCGAGTCTACTCTCATGCCAGAGAAGGTTGGAAACCAAGGTTCCAAGAAGACATCCATAGCTGGAGATTCCACTGCCATTCCCGAGAACGTGGGCCAGCAAGGTCCCAAGAAGACCTACCTTACTGCGACACGCAACGGACGAGGCCCACGCCGCCGCCCAGTCTTCAACCGCCGCAAGTCCTCGCAGACATCTATCCCGAAAACCGCACCTCCCATCCGCCGGCGCTCTGAGCCCAGCACCAAAGCTGATGGCGCCGACACTGTCTATGAAGACAGCTATGTAGAGCTGGGTCTATTGCAGCACCTCAGCTTCCGCGATGAAGAAGACCAGATCGCGCGTGATCTGGGACGTGAGATTGCTCCTGAGCCTAAGCCCGCCAAGCCGTCTGTTCCACTATTTGACGACGAATTCCTCGATGAGCCTTCTGTCGTGGAGGCCGCGAAAGCTGCGAAAGCTGCGCCAAAGACATCTCCTGTTCCTTTCCCGCGAGCTTCTTCCCTCCGGCACCCGATTTTGAGCCCCGATGACTTCTGCAAGATCACACCATCATTCAATGTTATGGAGAGCCACCTTGACATGCCTGGTGGACCGCAGCTTGTTCCTCCTGGTGACGTTGAGGGGGATTGGACGGACATCGATGCTCTTGATTCGACACTTCCTATCTTGCAGCCTTTCAAGAACTTGGTCTCGCACCATGAGAATATTGACCAAGATCTCCCGGATGTACAGCCCGCTGTTCTCCCCGTTGTCAAGGAGGCTTCTTTGCTGTCATCTGCGATGAGGGGAGTGAAGTTGTGATTTCTCACCGAGAGACAGAGCATTGACCCGGATGATCACGATTTCCCTGCGGAAGGAATATCGGTTTCGACTTCGCCGGCTCTTAACACACTGTACATTACCATGCCTGAGAGCACTGAACTGAAGATCTCGGGAATACGGGATGCTTGAAGAGGATAGCATCACAGATGCGAGTAACAATGGAATCCAAGGAGGTTACATTCGTTCATTGTATCGAAATTGATGCCCTGAGAATCCAATACAAGAAAATATCAATATGCATGATATCCAAGTGCACATTTAGAGCTTATTAGGTGTATCCTGTTTCAATATCTAAACAGTACCCGATATAAACCTCTGCGGGTGAGACTACATTCAAATTAAAGTCACCGAGTTATGTCTACCGAGTTTTGTCTCAAAAATGATCTCAATGTATTGTATTGGAAGAACGCCATCCACGAAAAGAGGCAAAACCACTATACACCATGACTCCCGAGCCCAAGTGCCATATAAAAAAAAAAACAAACGAATGCAAATGCTGTCCAACCCCCCTTTTTCATCCGATACCATCAAGGCACCTATCCATAACAGATTCCACCCAACAAGCTCACTATCAAAGCGAGCATCCGTACCCTCAAAAATCTAAATCTGCCCACCCTTCTCAGCATCAATCGCATCCCCAGGGACAGCCGACCTGCGACTCTTCAACCAGCGAATTAAAATCCAAGAAGCAGACATGACCCAGAACACCAAGTTAATAATATCGATCCAAACAGCATGGCGCATACGATTAATTTTCGACGCATCACCAAGCGCAGAAGTAGTAGTATCAGTCTTCGAACTGGAACTGGAACTCTCCACAGGATGAACACCAATATACATCTTCCCGAAGATGCCAAAGAGCGTCAACCACAGCACGGTAACAACAAACTCCCACGCAAACTGCGGCAGCAGCAGGGCAGGGCCCGGGCCAGCACCGAGCTTAGCTTTGCGCATCACGAACGGCAGGATGAGGTGGATGGCTGCGGTGATGATTGCGAAGAATGCTGTGACGAGCGCGTACACCCATTTCGAGTGCCAGGTGTGTTTCTCGGAGTGGTCGTGGTGCACGTCTTTGCCGTACATGCCCATGACCGTTAGTCCGAAGATCACTTGGAGGATGCGGAGACCGGAGAAGAACATGAAGGTGAGCTTGGCGCTTTTGCTCTGTTCTTGGGGCGGCGACTCGAAGTGCATGGTTGTGCCGGGTGTCGCGCCTGCCGGGTAGCCGCTCATTGGGTGCTGCTCTTGTGGGTAGTTTGGTGGGTAGACGCCGGCGTTCTGGTATTTTTGGAGGTCTTTCTTGGCCTTGTGTTTCTTGGCTTGGTTGAGGCCGAGTTTGAGGAGGGGGACGGCTAAGAAGGACATTTTGAATGATTTCGATTGGATTTGGTGATGTGGTGATGTAGTTTGTAGTTGGAAGAAAGTGAAAGTGAAAGTGTCAAGGTAAATGCTTCGAATATATGGCGCACAGCGCAGAGATTATATCGAGAAGTAGAGAGATGTGAATTCGAATGAGAGAATGAGACGAGTGTTCTGATATTCGGCAGACCAGATGCCAAATAAGAGGAATGAAGCTATTGTCGAGATCGTATAGCTAGATATGAGGACAAAGAGAAGGTTGCTTGTCGTATTCAAAGTGTATAATAGAAATAGAAGAGAACAAAAGAAAGAAGAAAGGATGGTAATGGAATGAAAGACGAGTCTGGTTTCCATCAAAGGCACAGCCAGGTCTGTTCTTTATATACCAGCCCTATTCTTATTCCCCGGTGCATATTCTTCAGGGCTTGAAGACAACAAAGCCCAATGTTACTATTTTGTAACAATTCTGCAGCCCAAAGATGAAACGCATCGCCTTTGAGCGCGCGGTTCTGGGGTTTCTCCACTGTGCATCTTCGTCTTTCATCCAAAGACAATAAGTCGGGGACGAGAAGATGAAACGGGTAGATCAAAATAGAATGCCGAGCACCCCCTGGAATCAAGAGCTAACATAAAGTTCGCAAGCTGGGTCTTGCAGATCTCATGATCCTGGCATCTTGGTGGGGTAGCTTCAGTTCGCGCGCGCCAACTCGGGTTTGAGATGGTTTCAAAGTGCGGGTTGCTTGAGGTCCAATCAAAATAACCTACTCTATTTTTGGTCTATGCCCAGATATTTACTGTAATGTCTAGTCTAAGAAAAGCATACGTGCTACAAGAAATGGACGTTGGATCATTTCACATATTCAGAACATACATATCATGGACATTACAATTACAAAGAATAACCAGGAACTCCGAGGAACGTAGTCCGATGAGTTGCTCGCCATACCAACATGCGTGAGAGGGGATTTCGTTCCATGCAACAATCCGAGAACACCCCTCAAATGATACCCAAACACCCAGTCAACCCCTCAAAAAGAGAAACAAATGCAATGATGAAACGCCAAAGAACAGACAGCTATGGGGATGCGATAGGTCGATTACGCCGGTCGACTTGCTCCGGGATCCGCAGCACCCTTAATACCTTGAACAGACGCGGCGATCTTCGGATGATTTCCAGTGGGCAGTGGAGGCTTGAGGTCGGAGGGGGACGCAGGGGCGGAAGGTGGGATCGGCGAATTTTCATCATCATCATATTCATGTCCTTGGTATTCATCATCGGGAAGACCTGAACCAGCGGCGGAGGAGTGGTCAGCTGAAGCGCGGTCGTATCCCTGCTGGTAGGGGTGCTGTGAGCCATTCTTCGATGCGTTCTTGGTCGCCTTCTTGGTCTTGCGACCTTTCATCTTGGCCTTCTCCAAAAGTCGCTTCTTCTCCGCTAGTCGCTTGCGCTCTTTGCGGTCTTTCATCTCATACTGCCGGATTAGGGCTTCGGGGGGATGCCCAAAGATGCTCTCATATTCACAGAATTCACAAATCCAGATGTCCTCGAGACTAGGGGGGTGGTGGAAGTTCGTGTATTGTTGCTGGACCTTCCGTTGACGTGCAGACAGTGCGTAGGTGCTGCTTGGAGACCGTTTCTTCTTGGGGACCACGGGAGTTGGCTCCCCACCTTGAGCGGGTGCTTGTGTACCCGGTGGAGCCTGGTGGTTCACGGGGCTACTTTGTGTCCTTTGTGTGGAGACCCCCCTCTGTTTTTGACTTGCTGGACCGAGTGGTGAAGTGGGGGACCGATAAGGAATTGAATAATTTCGTTGCATCGCCATGCCCTTAGAAGAGTCGGACTCACACGTGAAGGTGAATTGTGTCTTCGTCGGAGTGGTATTTTCTTTCTCTTTCTCCAACAGGCTGACGTTGCTGGGACCTCGAGGTGGGGAGGAGTGTGTTGCGGCATTGGCGATCGCGGTGGAGATAATTCCCTGGTCAGAAGGAGATTCACCTGGTGCACAAGTTAGAAAACAAAAAGTGTATTGGGGGGATGGAGGGAAATGCATACCAGAAGGGCCAGGGGATGACATCAACCCGTCCCGCCGACTGGGCGTCCGGGCATTCAACCATCCATGCTGAGCGTTGGGCGATAACGGGTTCCTGCTGCTGCTACGAACAGTAGGACGTCCCAAACGACCTCTTCCTGAACCAGATATCCCACTTCCTAAAGGAGACGCAGGGTTCCCACTCCCATAATATGTGCCAGTGGCATCAGTCGGGGTAGGAACTCGTACGGGGGTTGAGCTTGCCAACCCCATACTGGCGAACTCGGGAGACAACGCAGAGTGGTGTCCTCCCAAGTTTCCAGGCGTAGGTATCTTTCGTTTTTTCTTGTTATTCGTATTCTCAAACGCGTCGTAACCGTCTCCTGTTGAAGACTTTGTCTGCGGTGTGTCGTGGGGGAAGCTATGTGGATTGCCAGACACGGGAGGTGACATCGAAGATCTCCGGACAACACCACTCCTCCGCACAACCATCGGACCGCCTTCATCACCGCTCTCGACCTCTATTGACGTCTCAAATTCATGGGCGTCAACCTCTGGTGACATTTCAGTCTCAACGGTCTGCTGCACATAAACTTTGGATTCATTCACCGCTTCTTCGGAATCCGCAGAGACACCGTAGAATATTTGAGACGCCGGCGGCGTAGGAGGATAGAATAGAGTGTCGGCAGCATCGGAAGAAAGACGTGAACGGAGGGTCCGTCTAGGTAGGGGACGAATCAGACGATCAGGATAAATGGTAGAGGGTGTGTCAGGGGACGAATTGAACACCCCGTCTACATGGCACCGTCAGTATTCATTCCACTAGTTGGTCGTCATCCTGAATTGGGATATTCCCGATCATCCGGACCAGATGTCCCTGAGCAGACATACTCAATGTTGCTGTCATCATGCAAGATATCCACGCTCGCCATCAACCGCCGACGATGCTATGAGGATGGTATTCCAGCCCTTTGGCTCTGTCCTTTTATCCCCCGCCACCGTATATGCTTTTGAAGGTGCCAATAATCCAAAAGTCGGGGGTTGTGTTGAGGGTCGAATTGGGAGGTAATGTCTTCAATGTCTGTGGTCCGCGGTCATAAGCTTTGTTCCTTTAAATATCAACCTCCCGAGAAGTGTACAGGCGGTGAGATCAACACATAACTGGGATTCAATCCAATCCCCGCGTTCCTCTGCTGTCCACAATCCCGTAGACACGAATATCAACCTACCCACAAAATAGTGCTATTACTCAGCACCTTGTAAATCCAAGATCGATGGAATCGGGTCCAAAGTCGGGAAGTAAAGCAAACTTGAATCCAGAATCAGTGCTAGAGACAAGGCAAATGAACAACTAGAATAACTACTAAGAGGGGTTGAGGGATATGAAGAGAAAGAGACAAGTCACGGGAATTTAGGAAATACGCTAATCTCCTTTTGGTAATCCTCTACCCAATGACTTCGGGGAGAAGTGGCATTACCTAGGCACACGATTCTGAAGAACTCTACTCTGCAGATCAGACATCTGGGAGCATATGCATGGTGTATCTTATAAGTACCATCATGTACTGCACTTTGGTTATCAGTCTATACAACAATATTGCACCGTTGGGTTCTCTACTTGGGGAAAAAAAACTCCCGCTCTCCGATCATCTCTCAGATAGGTGCTCCCGGTACCTGCATTCATAGGGAACTCACCACATAAGAGCTGGTGTGATGGATTGCTTGAATGTTGAGCGATGAAATTACTGATGATACACCACCACAAACGATAGCCCTAACTTACGCGACGAACCTCGATCAGGTGTGATTAGACCTGTTAAGACCCCTCCACAAGGCTTTGCTCAAAGCCTCATTTCGCCTCTCCAGCCACCAATGCACCTCGGAGCATATTTCGGAAGAATAACTACATCATCTAGATGTTGGGAAGAATCAATGCCATAAGGTTCGGCTTGCAACTAGATCAAAGTTGTCTTGCCGACGCCGAAAACGGGCTCGGCTCGAAATGAGAGGCACACTCGGTATGAAGGATGGGGGACATACAGAACTTGAGACGATAGGAATCATAAGATCGGTTGTTCTTACTCTTCCTACAGCATAGTAAGAATCAAAGTCGACTCTTTAGGCCGTTAGACCGTGTTAGGTCTTTTTTGTAGCCTTTTTTGTGGCATCTTTTGTGGTCTCTTTTGTGGTCCCTTTCTAAATGCCCTCTACATTAATTCACTGGGATAAATTGCATCGGGGTTTCAAAAGAGAACTCCGTAAGTCCTCTACGGTATTGCATGCAAGCTCTCTTGTTGTCTCATCCCGTTGTGGCAGTGAAAAAAACAACCTCCAATTAGTGGGCCACAGATCCATTGTACACAGTAAATATATGGTCGAAAGAATGGCAAAACAAAATTATATAAACCCAGCATCAAACCCCTCCATAAGTAATGGGAAAAAAAAGAAGTGAAACACGAAGAGCGTGAGTGGTAAAAGATTCGCGCGTCGAGAGGCGTCGAGAGCGGGGAAACCGGCGATTGGATCTTTTGGAGTCCCGTTCCGGCGCTTTTCTCCTTCTCTTCTTCCTCCCCGCCATTACAAGGAATTATTTCTCGGACTATGTAGTCATCGGGCTCTTTATCGAGCCTTGTGACGCCTTTATACAGATCTGTGATTTCCAATTGTCCTGCTCCTTTTGACTTGACACTGTACCCTCCCCAAGAGCTCTCAATCGCGCGCCAGAGCTCCCTCGCAAACGGCTTTTCTCGAGTTACTGTTGGAACCACAACCAGCCAACGTCTCGAAAATCCGTTGGTTTTTCCTAATCTAGTCTCCAAGAGCTCTCTTTTATACTCTCCTACAATCATCAGCCCTCCCCCACCATGACTCCTCGTCGTTCCTCTCGGGCTCGCACCTCCCAGCCCTCTCCTGCCCTCCTACAACACACCAACTCTTCCTCCAGCTCCTCAAATTCTCTTACTCGAGAGAGAAGCACTCGATCGAATCACAAAAATCCTTCTCCTAACGAATCGACCGGCCACCGCTCTCAGTCCATCGAGGATGCTGAGGGTGGCTCGAAAGACCTTCCACATACGCGGCAGCGCCAGCGCGCTCAGGACGACGACGATGATCCACCCCGTGAAGAAGACGAGGATGACCTAGATGATGAGGAGGAGGAAGTGACTCGATGTCTCTGCGGTCAGCAAGAATATCCAGGCTTGCCTTCTTCTCGTCGCGAGGCCCTCGGTCGCGGCACCATCAAGCTGGAGTCGGGACAAGTCCCCACTGATCCATCTGATCCCCTGTCAGATGATATTGGGAGCATGTTCATCCAGTGTGACTTGTGTAAAGTCTGGCAACACGGTGGTTGTGTTGGGATCATGGACGAGGCAACCAGTCCTGACGAATATTTCTGCGAGGAGTGCCGGAAGGATTTGCACAAGATCAAAGACGAACCTCATGGGTGAGTGAACCCCCGTTATTCTTTGAATTTACTCTGCCCTACATATTCCTGCATTTGCCGTCAATCTATACCTCGGGTTGTGCGTGTGCTTTGCTCCTGCTGCTTGGAGGGGCTGTTTTTCCGACGCAGCTTCGGGAGCAATTATTCCCCCCAAGCTGTTATAAGATACCAATGACTACTTCACGTTGCTATATCGAACATTTTGAAGAGGTATACTGACAATCCTGCAGACAACGCTCCTCTACCTACCTTCCTGTTGCACCAGAACCAGTTCCACCGCCACCACCTCCCCCACCTCCTCCTCCAGCTCCAGCACCAGCTCCAGATCCAGCCCCGGCCTCGGTGGTTCCTGAGGTACCTGATGTGCCAGTCATTCCAGTCGGCCCAATCGTCCCGGCAGTAGCCCCGTCCCCCGGCCCGTCCTCCCGTGCCTCATCAAGAGATATATCACGGCGTTCCAGGGATCCGAAGTCCCGGAACAGCGAGAGTGCCGCCGCACACGCCAAGCGTCGATCAACAATGAACAGCCGGGATGCTGCTTATGACGAAGAAGAATTGATCCGACGCGCAATTGAGGAGAGCAAGGCCGAGACCAAAAGCAATGCGGATGAGACGGACACACATCTGGGCAAGCGAAGTCGAAGCGACAGTGTGACGTGCGTATACCCAGGGCTAACGGCATTGGCTCGGATAATGTGGCTGACTAGTTACCCAGGAACAGAGAACGAGCGAAACGTCCACGAACCACTTCACCGTCACCTAGCGCTGTATCGAGGCATAGCAATATAGCATCTCACCCGCCTTCTGATGATGAGACGAAACCAAAACCCACAGTCAACGGGGCTCGCAGACAGAGGGCTACATCTCGAGGCCAGTTGGAGAAGGAGCCTGGGATTGAGCCCGATGAAGGTGAAACAGAGGCTCCCGAAGCGGCGAATCGTCGGAAAGAACGATCAACCCGGCGAAAAGGAGATGGTAAGTGACACAGGCCCAGTACACAATTGCCCACTTTCTCACACAGCTATAACAGAATCCGAGCACGAAATCGGTTCCCCAACAAAGACAGCACCGCCAGAGCCTGAACCGTCCCAAGCAAGCCCCAACACCCCTACTCCCCAAGAGCCTACGCCTGTTCGTCCGTCGACCCGCAAGTCCGGTCGACCTCCCGCTCGTCGCGGTCGTGTTGGACGAAACCAATATACCAAAGACCGGGACACCAACGGAAATGGAGATTCCGGGTATATGGCAAACTCGCCGCGCCGCGGCCAGTCCCACGAAATCGGCGGAGACTCCCCTCGAGTTGGCTACAGCAGTGTCAACGGAGCACACCTCAATGGTGGGGAGTCAGGACGGCCAAGCAAGCCACGCCACATGCACCCACAGCGAACAACCATGAACGAGATGAAGCGCCGAGTAGCAGCCATCCTGGAGTTCATCTCGCGCATGCAAGTGGAGATGGCCGTCGCCAGCGAGAACTCCTCCACGCCTACAGGCAACGGCGACCGGGCCCAGGGCCTGCTCTTGAAAAGCATGGTCGATCAGATCGACAGTGCCATGCCATCCACGCGCAGCGATGGCGGCGAGTCCGGCCCCGCAACTACAGACGGTGGCTATGGCGAGTCGTCAACGAACCATGAAAGGGATTTCAAGGAGCTCAGCAGCGTCGAGATGATGGACGTGCTCACTCGCCATCTCCTCAAGTGGCAGCAGGAATACGGCAAGTTTGGAGAACGGTAGTCTCCTCCACTACCACACAGCTGGTTTCCCTCTTCTTCTCGCGCCATCTCATCTTTTGAGCTTATCCGCTGCTTCGCATCACGATACCCATCTTAATTCGCTTTTCTCGCCCTTTCGATGTACACTAGACCTCATCTCACTTGCTTTTTCTTTCCTCTTCTCTTCTGTCTTCTCTATGTCATCCCATACTGGTCCGGCGTCATGATCATCCTCGAACACAAGGATGGTATGTACTTACTGGCGACTCATCGTCTTGCTTCGTTCCAAGGTTTCATTACTCATGTTATTTTTCTACGTGTTTATTTGTGGTCCATGCTTTGCTATGACTATTATGTCTTGCTGTTCAGTATGGTCATTCTGCTAAGAGGTCCTCTTCCTGTCTGACTTTTACTTGTGTCTTTCGTTGTTTTGGTGCCCGGGTTTCATTTTTGGTGTTTGGGGAAAAGTCAGGACTTATATATGGCTGTTTGTCTTTTTGTAAGAAATTCTGTCTTGCTCTAGTGGGAATGGTATCACTACTCTTTTGTCCATTATATAAATTCAATATACTAGGGATAAGGGTGCTCTTCGTCAATTATAGAGTACAAGAATAGTCAAGCCGTGTTTGCGGCCTTGTGATGTCTTTTCAGTACGTCTTTCTAGCTGGTCTTTTTGGTTAGTCTTTTCAAATGTCTTTTTAGCTGGTGTTTTCAGATGTATCTGAAGGTGGTAAAAAAGAGCATACTTTGTGCAAGCGACTTTTCTATGTAT